GCCGTCGAGAGAAAAGCAACTTTTAAAGTAATAAAAAAAAATGGAGAACGGGAAAGTTTGGAAATAGAGAGCGGTTCCAATCGATTTCATTCTCCCCGTGGCAGGATCCACTGGAACCAGGAAGAATTCGTCTCTTGTTTATGATCCATCATTTTTCACGGGTCTAGTGGGAAACTTTGACTATCGTATAAAAACTTCCGTCTGCGACAACAGTCCACTGGGATCCGAAGCGAATTTCTGTCATCTGTTCGGATTGATTTCGCGCGAAAGATACGAACGACGCGAACAACCACCGTTCTACTTTTTCTGCTTTTTTCTTCACGTTTTTCGACTGTTGCATTAAACTCTCGTTGTGTTTTACCATCTTTTTTCACTGTGAAATAGTAACTCAAATGTAAAGCTTTTACTTCGGTAGGAACTGAAAATCTAGATAAAAGGTGGTGAGTTTTAATCGTCATCGTTGCGTGTCACTTCTAACATTAAATAAAGCAAATTATTGCGTGAACATTGAAACTTGTCCGCGCGACGAAGATGGATTAATTGCATAATAAATTCATATTTTATCGAGTTCTCAAATAGAAAACATGGCGTGGTAATTGCGAAAGAGTTGGCTGAGATCTCGATCATAAAATTTTGATGAGTTTTAAGAAATTTCATCCCTTTATCCGCGGTACGATTCTTCGAAGGAGTCCCATTGTTTCTATGAGGTTTCTGTATACTCTGCACATTTCCACACATTGATCGTGCCGGCTTACGCACGCGCATCCCTTCATTCGTATAAACTTATGAAAGAAAAGATACTTTTTAATGCCACCGTCTCGTGCAGAACCTTTATCAACCCCTATTAGTTCTGTCACTGAAATTCAATTTCATACAGTGGAACAGATTACGATTGTGATCAAACTCAATTTTAATAAATTTTGTTAAATCACTAGATTTTTAGATTTCCCTAAATATCCAAACTATCAAATATTCTCAAATTCCTTACAATTCCCGAATGTCTCAATGTTGTCGAACTTTTGAATTGCAATTATCCTGAAATTCCCTAGATTTACAAATTTCCCTAGATCCCCAAAGTATCGAAATTTCTCAAATTTCCCCAAATTTCTAACTTTCTCAATATCTTCGAATATTTGAGTTTCAAAAATTTTCGAAAATTCCCTAGATTTCCAAATTCCCCTAGATCTCTAAAATATCAGAATTTCTCAAATTTCCTAAAATTCCTGACTTCTCCAACATCTTCGAGCTTCAAAAATTGAGTTTCAAAAATTTTCGAAAAAATTCCCTAGATTTCCAAGTTCCCCTAGATCTCTAAAATATTAGAATTTCTCAAATTTCCTAAAATTCCTGACTTCTCCAACATCTTAGAGCTTCAAAAATTTTCGAAAAAATTCCCTAGATTTCCAAGTTCCCCTAGATCTCTAAAATATCAGAATTTCTCAAATTTCTTAAAATTCCTGACTTCTCCAACATCTTCGAGCTTCAAAAATTGAGTTTCAAAAATTTTCGAAAAAATTCCCTAGATTTCCAAATATCCCTAGATCCCAAAACTATAAATATTCCCAACCTTTCGAATATCTTAAAACTCTTGAATTTCAAAAATTTGCAAAAATTCCCAGATTTCTAAATTCCCCTAAATCTGGAACTATGAAATTTTCAAGCTTTATCAACGCCTTTTAGTTTCGTCACTAATATTCAGTTTCATACAGTAGAACGGATTACGGTTATTGGAGACACGAGCGTAGCCAAAAATTCAATATCTCTTTCTTTGGATACGAATCAAGTGAGAGATACTGGAACTTTTTGAATTTTTCATTTCAATTGTCGAGATTGAATATTTTCCAGCTAATAAAATTCATTGCATCCTCCATCTTTCCTGTCGCTCAGTTCGTGCTTTATCTTCGTACGAAAATACCGAAAATGAAAGAACCATAAATATGTCCTGGCTCTGACTGGCAGAATAGAAATCGTCCAGGAGCAGACAAATTGAATGAACGTTATATAAAATGGAGCAAATCTTGTTTGACGTAACAGCCATTTCGTTAACGAAATATGAATATTGTAAAGCTACGGTCGCGTTTCAAATGTTCGCTTTTCATTCATAAAGCGTATAATTGCTCCATGGAGCCAAATTTTAAAGGAACGAAATTCTACGCGTTTGCAGTGGCGAATTTTTCATTCTCAACAAGGGTAGGAATTACTTTGTTCTACGTGGTACAGCTTTTGATATAACCTGGTATTGTACTACGTTCGCTTCGAATAATATCATTATCCCGATATCATTAAAGTTTCGTAGAACATACAGGATTATTTATCCGTCTCCACAATCGATCATACCAATATACCAGAAGTGATCCGCGTGAATCATGACCTACACTTCAGCGTGAACACCTTTAGTCGGTTTTCGTGCAGGTGAACCGATCCGAAAGTGAAAATCACGGCGTCTAGACGCGAATCACTTTCCCAGTTAACCTGGAATCGGTCGTTGCTCACGCAATGTTTTCTAGGACACACTCGGCCTCGAACAGTGCCATTAAAGCAACGATCACCCGGATTATATATACGCACGCAAGTTTTCAGCGAACGATATTTCGTCGTGGTCGAACGCGATAATAAATATCGGTATCCGATACCGGACACCCGAAAAATAATTCGTCGAATAAAGTGGTTCGCGTTACCGCGTTCAATTCGTTCGGAAGTTTTCGCCCTTGATTAGCATAAAGATTCGATAAAACAACGTATTGCCCGATTCTTTATACGTTGTCTAACCTACATCTGCGTAGAGACAACAGGCTAATGTTGTTTCTCGAGCTAGAAATCCTTCCATATTGTTCGTTAAGCGTGGTAATTCGTTTCGTTAATTAGGACATAAATTGTCGAGCTAAGACATTTTGCATCGTTCCGTTCTATTTATGATTCACTTTGGACCACGATTTCCGTTTCGTTACCTCGGATCGGCAAAGATTTATTCGCGTTCTTAACACTAGAGGAACTACACGGGTTATTTCGATCCGGACCTAGTATGCTCTCATTAATACAACATAAAAATCATATTTGTCCCGTTACTCGATCATCTGTTTCTCGAATTCTTTTTCACGAAAGTCATGCATACAATTAAAGAGATTCCAAGACGAGTAATAACGATATAAAAACTATCTCAATTTATCGTAGCAATTAACTGTTTGAAATTGAAATTAAATTTGTAAGAATTCCAGTTAGAAATTGTATGCAAAGTAGGAAGAACGGGAAGAACGATTTCCAGACAATTACGTTCGGTTTATCCTGTTTTCTTAGCGCCGTAGTTTAAGCTGGCAGCATTTTATCGGTACGCTGCATTAGCCTCGGGAAATATCGCGAAGGATACGCGTGAGTTTAACGAAAAGGAAAATCTGGAAGCATCCATAATTTATCGTTTAAAACGTCATTTGTTTTATCTCCGTGTAAAGTGATTTTCCATTTGACGCTATTTCGACTGGTAATGGTATCAATTACATACTGGTTACCCCATAACGTTCGCATAAATTTACCGATATCGAGTATTCGGCTACTTGAACACGACCGATATAGAAACAGTGTTCGAGTGTACTCGTGTACAGATGGTTTATTTCACTATTATTCATATGGTGTACAGGAAATATTTTTTAAAGGTCAAATTCTTCAATTTTTATATTTCCGAATTATTTTTTCATTTAAGAATTTTCTGATTTTCCTCAAAATTATAGAAACTGAATTTTTTGGAAGTCCCTAGATTTTCATATTCCCTCAAATTTTTAAACTTTAAAATTTCAAACTTTGAGTTTTCGAAAATTTCTGGTTTTTCCACTATCCTTTAACTTTCAAATTTACCAAATTTGAGAAAATATAGGGATTTTTAAATTCCCCTAAATTTCCAAATTTTCTTTCAAACTTTTAAGTTTTTGAACATTACCGAATTTGTTAATGTTCTCAAACACTTAACTTTCAAAATTTCTGAAAATTCCTAGATTTCAAAATTCCCCTAGATCTGCAAACTATCAAATTTTCATATATTCTGGAGTTTCTTGAGATTATCGCATCTCCTAATATCTTCAAACTTTGGAATATAAAAATTTTAGAAAATCCCTAGATTTAAAAATTCCCCTAGATCCCAAAACTATTAAAATTTTCAGATATTTTCAAAATTCTTAAGATTGTGGCATGTCCCAGTATCTTCAAACTTAGGAATATCACAATGTTAGAAAATCCCTAGATTTCAATATTCCCCTAGATCTCCAAACCATCAAATTTTGAGATATTCTCAAGTTTTTTGAGGTTGTCGCGTCTCCCAATATCTTCAAACTTTCAAATATCAAAATTTTAAAAATCCCTAGATTTTCAAATTCCCCAAATTTCCAACTTTCAGAGTTCAGAGTTTTCTAAAATTCTCAAACTTCCCAAAATCTTTCAAGTCTCAGATTTGAAAAAATCCTCAGATTTCTAAATTCCCCAAAATCCCCAAACTATAAAATTTCGAAATTTATTCAAGGTTCCTAAAGTCTCCGGCGTTGCCACTATCTCAGCCTGTAAAGTTTTCAATTTGACAATAAACGCGGTAAAAGAGGATCGAAGTGGAAGTAGTCGATCGTAAAGTCGACAAATTGCGGTTAGACGCGGTAAGATGAGTGTGAAGTGCGAAGTGTGAAATTCGGAAGAGCACTAAACAGGGGAAAGAGCAGGTCGAAAACGTTCGACGACGGTTAATGCTTGAAAATATAGAGCGTAGGGACGCTAGCTAATAAATTGTCCACTTTACGACTCCCTACTATTTGCATTCTTTCCTCTTCTCGCTCCCTATTTTCTTTTTCCGACCCTGTTTTTAGAAACGATCAGCCCGATGATGATATTTTCGTTGGTCACGCGTTTGGAAACGATACGAGAATACTTATAGCATTTATATTTGAATAACGGTTCGGAAATTAGAACAATATTATTAGATCGTGGAGTTTATTATAACGTTTCTTTCCCCTTTTGCAATGTTGCAGAGACCTAACGAGCAACAACATAACAGACATTCCAGTCCGTGCCTTCCATCGAATTCCCAATCTTGAGGTGTTGTAAGTACACGAAGCTGTTTTATTAATTCCATCGAATCACGTAAATATCGACAAAAGAAATATTCAAACTCACAATTTTCACTTTCGAAATAATTTTGATGACTTCATCGAAGCACATATTCTTCGTGCTGTTTTCTTTTTGCAGGTTACTTCGACGAAATCGTTTGCACACGATCGCCGACGATGCATTCGCGAACTTAACGAGCCTTCGAGTATTGTGAGTGTTCCGTAAAATCTTGCGCACGAATGAAAACAATGCGAAAGAAAGAAAAAGAATATTAGATTGCTGTTTGCGTTTGCTTGAGTAAACCGGAGGCCAGACAATCCGTTCTGAGCAAAATTAAAAAAGATAAAAAGAGAAGGGATCTCAAGAAATGCTCCGCGATTGTTAAAAAAGTTGTAATTCTCTGTCTGCTTTGTAGGGAGCTCGATGACAATTATTTAACAAAAATTCCGACCGCGATCGTAAAGCTCTCTGGCCTTGAAGACCTGTAAGTGTGCATCGATTAAGTAAAATGTAATTTGACAACTTTTTTTTATATTCTATGAACACCATCTCTCCTCTATCGAGTCGCGTTTCGTTCACTGTAAATAGTTTTATTTTTATTCAATTTATAGTCTGCGTATGTAGAAATCTTTCTGCTATATTTTGTTGGAAATTATTCAATTATTTTGCCACGCTACTTCGCGTTTCTTTTAATGAAATTTATCTAACGGGTTGTGATAAAAGATTTGTCAATTTCTTTCACTACGGTTTACAATTTTCACGGTCTACATATTCTCCGAGTTACCTCGTGTCTCGGTTAAATAAAAATCGTTAAAGCGTATGCGAAGTAGCGATGGTCATTCCGTTCGTACGACATTTCCCATGAATGTTCGTTGAACTTTCGTGTACATTTCCGTTCCATAATATCGATGCAACGCAATCAAACGTAATCGTAAAATAGACACCGCCATTATCGTTCTGTTTGTTCCTTTTTTATTTCTCGTATCGAATGCACACGAAGGAAACAAAGAAAGTCGTATTCGTTTATGTTCCCTCGATTTCGTAGGTCCCTCTCGAACAACCGTATTGAAACGTTGGAGGAGCACGTTTTTCAGCGTATCGCTAATCTACGTTCCCTCGATCTACGTGGTAATCCCATCAAGGAAATACACGGGAACACTTTTCAGAATCTACGGAAACTTCGTAAACTGTGAGTAGAAAAGTTCCTTCTTGTTTTCTCCCCTATCCTACTATCGATAACGGCGATGTTATTGATATCGATAGTACTGTCTAAATATCTACCTGAACAAATAAGGGGATATGGGAACATTTAAATATTGGGAACCAGATACATTCGAATCTAGGGATATTTAAATAATCACAATGGAATATTGAGATCTAGGGATATTGGAAGCCAGGAATTTCAGGGATTTTGGGATATCGAGATCTAAGAATTTTCGGAATCTAGGAACTTTCGGGGTCTAGGGATATTGGGATCAAGGAATTTTTTTATCTAGGGAAATTTAAATTTAGGAATTTTTGAAGTCTAGGGATATCGCGAGCTAGGGGTTTGCTAAATCTAGGGATATCGAGATCTAGGAATTTTTGAAATCTAGGGGTATTGGGATTTAGGAATTTTCCGAACCTAGGGATATCAAGATCTAGTCATTTTTCCGAATCTAGAAATATCGGAATCTAGGAACTTTCTAAATCTAGGGATATTGGGATTTAGGGATTTTCCGAATCTGGGGATATCAAGATCTAGTAATTTTTCCGAATCTAGAAATATCGGAATCTAGGAACTTTCGAAATCTAGGGATATTGGGATTTAGGAATTTTCCGAATCTAGGGATATCAAGATCTAGTAATTTTTCCGAATATAGAAATATCGGAATCTAGGAACTTTCGAAATCTAGGGATATTGGGATTTAGGAATTTTCCGAATCTAGGGATATCAAGATCTAGTAATTTTCCCAATCTAGAAATATCGGAATTTAGGAACTTTATAAATCTAGGGATATCATGATTTAGGAATTTTCCAAACCTAGGAATATCAAAATCTAGTAATTTTTCAGAATCTAGGGATATCGGGTTCTGCGAATATCCGGACTCTAAGGATATTGAAATTTGGAGATATCGTGATCTAGGGATGTTTAGATCTGAGGATATTCATAGAGAGTTAGAGATCAAGATGTCAAAAGAGCTAGAAATATAGGGACATAAATTTAAAGGGTTTGATATAAAAGTCTAGGGATATGAGAATCTAAAAATATAGGAACATTGTCCCAATGTCAGGCATCCATAGATGTTGCTTATACAAATGTTGTTGTATAGTACAAACGAGGGTGTCTAAAAGTAACTCGAATAAAAATAACTTTTCGCTTTGCAGGATTTTGTCTAATCTGAAAGAATTACGAATATTTCCGAATTTAAATGGAACACGATCGTTGGAGGTGTTAAGATTAGATCGTGCACAGGTGACGGAGGTTCCGAAAGATTTATGCGAACAATGTCCAAAATTGAAGAGTCTGTAAGTAATCAAACTTTAACTTTCCAGAGAATGTTCTCGTCTATAAATTCTAATAGTTTGAATGTTACGCGAGTTTGAAATTAGAATTTAATATTCACGAAACCATATCTCGTTGTTTAACGATATACATGTTATATACTGTACCCCAGCGAAAATTGCATTGTTTCATATTCATTTAGCAAACGAAATTATAACGTGGCTGTGGAGCGATAAAGTTAAACCAGGGTGTAAATTCATTAGCTTGCATTAAGCTGTCCAATGCACTTTGCACGAAACTTTATCGCGGTAATTAATTTTCTATCGATCCAATCCGATGCACCTTGAATAGCGTTTTAATACATACATTCGTTGTTCAACTGTTTGATGATCCGATTGGATTATCGCACTTTGATGATCAGTCAATTTCATTAAACTCGAGATTCAAAGGTTTACGATGTTATTATATAAACACAGATATTATATTCTTAATAATCAATATTTTACCAAGTATACTTTTTCACTTTTATTTTTCAGCGATATGAAATCCAATTACCTGACGGAGCTGCCGAATTTACGAAATTGTAGCGAATTAAGGGTTCTGTGAGTATACGAGCACTTTGAAATAAGTCTTTACAGGTAGAACTAAATTAACTGTTAAGCTCGAAATGAAGTAATATTTTCCAGTGACTTGATTCGAGTCCGCCATTGTTCGAAATGCATACATGCGCTAACGAGTAAAATTTCCTCACTTCTAGGGACCTCGCCACTAACATGATTTCATCGTTGCTGGATGAGCCTTTCAAAGGTCTTAACATGCTGCACGACCTGCTTCTCTCGAATAACAAGTTACAAGTGATCCCAAGCGACGCGTTCACCGGCTTGTCGAGGTTGCAGGTATTGTAAGTGTCGTCGCTTGCAATTAACCGTGATGCGGGTAACTTGTCCCTTTATCGTTTTAAAAAAGAACATTCGATGTTTCAGGGACCTGGAGAGCAATTACATCGAATACATTCATCCTGACGTGTTCAAGGAAACGATACATTTAGAGGACCTGTAAGTCTAGACAAATCACTGTACACTAATCACTGTGCACTAATAAGAAAAATATATTATAAACTATACAGGATATATTCTTGAAGATAATCCAGCAAAGAAGTTATCGTTAGACACTCATCGTTACACATTTGGATATTAAAGTTTTTTGAAGCCAAGGTCATCTTTTCTTTTTTAAGTGACATCATAGATTTTGCAATACACAACTGATGTCAATGGAAATTCAACAAATTATACTGTAACCTTGAGATGACCTTAAGATGACCTTGAGATGCCCTTGAACAATCTGCTGAATGTACACTCTGCTAAAAGTGGCACTATTGCAATAAACATATTAGTTTATAATAAAATAACTTTCCATGTTGACGTTTTTGTTAAAATCTAAGTCTACATTGAAGGTCGTCTCAAGGTCCTACTATGACCTTATAAAATGAGTCATAGTCTCAAAGTCATTGAATTTATTTTGAACTTGGTGAAGTCTAAAATGTATGGTGACATTTAAAATAGTGAAGTATAAATTTTAAGAGAATTGTAAATATTTCTGTATATAAATTTTTGAGGCTGACCAACTTTTCTTTAGAATATTTCTTTATAAGATAAGTGGCAACATTTCTTAAGGCGTATCTTGCATAACATATAACATAACATAATTAAATATAAAAACATAAGATTTGATTAGTAATTTTGTTTGTTCCAGAAATCTCGGGAACAACATATTTCCAGCACTGCCAACGAAGGGGTTGTCAGGACTCTTGCACCTTAAAACGTTCAATAATCCAGCACTAAGGGAATTTCCAGCACCGGAGCGATTTCCACGCGTGCAAACGATGGTATTGTCGTATGCTTATCACTGTTGCTCGTTTCTGTCCATCGAGGTGGAAGAACCAGTGACAAAATCCTCCGTACAAGAGTCTATCTTGTTTCCCACTGACAACGAGTTCGATCCGAGCCTATGGAACTCGAGCATTACTGATATCTGGCCACAACTCAGTAAGTAGTTCAACCAACTTCTGCTGAGGGTAGAAGCTTCTGTGTAGCTCCTGTCGATGCTATTCAAAATCTATTAAAATCAGATTTTAAGTCGTGCATTTGGAAAGTTTAGACATCTATAAAAATTAATTGTTTCATAAGAAGATGTTAGAAAGTTTAAATATTAGATTGTTATATGTTTGAAGCTAAGTCATAGCGTTTGTTGCATCTACAATATTATGTGTAGAATAATGTGCAATATTGTATAAAATTATGAAACAGGCTTGAATGTCTCAACATTGTTTCTGACATTAAAATTTGACAAAATACTAATGCTATGATTAAAGTACTAATATTATTTGCTAAAAATATAATTAATCATTTTCTGTAACTTATGACTGAGCTTGAAATTTAGAAATGTCCTATTAATATTTTGAACAGTATTGATTACAGGTTCCCTCATCATCCCCAGTTGCTTTTAATCATTCTTTCATCGCACTCCACATCTGCTTTCAATAATGGCTAATGTTTTACTAATTTTTTTCAGTAACAAATAACACACGAAAGCTGACACTTCTGTTAACTTTTTTCCAATGGGGCACACGAAATAGTTTCTATAATAATAACTCTTAATTTTTCCTTAATGTAATTCAAACTGTGGTACCAAAAACAGAATTTCATAAAGGACTAAAATTAAGAAATTAATGAATCCCTTATAAAGTTAACTACTTTTAAACTAGTGTTAATTTAATAATTAAGGAAATTGAATTTTTTTTAGAAATCAAGTTTGCAATTCATCCTTGTCAGCTAAGTGTTAATGTACTTTAGAAAATCAAATGTCGATGTTGGCATAAAGATTTATTGTATTTTTTGTTCAACTTCTGCTAAAATTTTGTTCGTGACTAGCCCGACACTTAAATGCTGCAAAGCGGAAAATCATTTCTGTTCATCGAAGTTTTCAAAATTCGCTAAAATCTTGTCCCATATGCGCAATGTTTACACAATTGAAAGATAAAACACTCAACACTCGAGCTTTTTCATCGTTTGCTCTCTGCTCGAACTATCAAATGCGCTCAAAATCAGCTTACATGATCTCCCAGCGATCATCGATGGTGAATCTAAAAATAATCTTGCAGTGAGACTAATAAATAAAATTCTTAATATAAAATGTAGTTTCTTAGCAGTTGAGTACATTTTGAATTAATAACTACAATAGATACATTTTAACTTAAATAAGTTCACAAATTTTCAGATTCAATCTATTTCATAGAGGATGATCTCTGCATCCATAGTTCTCAGATCAAATAATCAAAGAAGAGATAATTATAGAATATTATTTTTGAAACATTTAACACCTTTAAGATTGAAAAAGTAAAATGTACTCAATGTATTTATAATCTATGATTAAAACAACGAATCAAATAAATATACAAATCTCGCTCCAGAGAATACTCTTTTTCTTCTTTTTAGATTCGCCATAGTTAAAGATTCATATCGAATCACAAGTTACCATTCCTTCAATCAAAAATCAAAGACACTTTGCAGCACTGAAGTGATGACATTTTTTAGATAACATGACCGACAAATTTGGCTCGCAAATAAATGAACTTTGGGCTAACTTTGGTTCAGATTTTACGTACCCTGGTAACCTGCCCTCATATGTTGAGGATTATTTTGACGAGCAGAATAGCCGAGTTACGCCGCCAGCTCAGATACTGCCCTCACACGTACAGTGCCTACCTCAACCTGGTATGTTTCAACATCAATCTCTTCGCGGTTTAATATTTTGCGGTCCACTATTCGCATATTTTACCACGTCACAAATGTAGTTCATTCTACTCGTTTGTCGTTCATTATTTTGTATTATATTGCGTGAAAGCAGTTGCAAAAGTTGCTTTGCAGAGGACGTGCAAGAATGTACACTGTCTATGCGATGCGCTGTCAATTTGTTGTAGTTTGGATGCGTTGTGCTGTCGTGCGTTGTAATTTTGGTGCGTTGCGCTTACGATGCGTTGTAATTTCGGTGCGTTGCGCTGTCGACGCGTTGTAATTTCGGTGTGTTGCACTGTCGATGCGTTGCACTGTCGATGCGTTGTAATTTCTGTGCGTTGCGCTGTCGACGCGTTGTAATTTCTGTGCGTTGCGCTGTCGACGCGTTGTAATTTCGGTGCGTTACACTGTCGATGCATTGTAATTTCGGTGCGTTGCGCTGTCGATGCATTGTAATTTCGGTGCGTTGCGCTGTCGATGCATTGTAATTTCGGTGCGTTGCGCTGTCGATGCATTGTAATTTCGGTGCGTTGCGCTGTCGATGCATTGTAATTTCGGTGCGTTGCGCTGTCGATGCATTGTAATTTCGGTGCGTTGCGCTGTCGATGCATTGTAATTTCGGTGCGTTGCGCTGTCGATGCATTGTAATTTCGGTGCGTTGCGCTGTCGATGCATTGTAATTTCGGTGCGTTGCGCTGTCGATGCATTGTAATTTCGGTGCGTTGCGCTGTCGATGCATTGTAATTTCGGTGCGTTGCGCTGTCGATGCATTGTAATTTCGGTGCGTTGCGCTGTCGATGCATTGTAATTTCGGTGCGTTGCGCTGTCGATGCATTGTAATTTCGGTGCGTTGCGCTGTCGATGCATTGTAATTTCGGTGCGTTGCGCTGTCGATGCATTGTAATTTCGGTGCGTTGCGCTGTCGATGCATTGTAATTTCGGTGCGTTGCGCTGTCGATGCATTGTAATTTCGGTGCGTTGCGCTGTCGCCGCATTGTAATTTCGGTGCGTTGTAATTTCGATGCGTTGCGCTGACGATGCGTTGTAATTTCGGTGCGTTGCGCTGTCGCCGCATTGTAATTTCGGTGCGTTGTAATTTCGATGCGTTGCGCTGATGATGCGTTGTAATTTTGGTGCGTTGCGCTTACGATGCGTTGTAATTTCGGTGCGTTGCGCTGTCGATGCATTGTAATTTCGGTGCGTTGCGCTGTCGATGCATTGTAATTTCGGTGCGTTGCGCTGTCGATGCATTGTAATTTCGGTGCGTTGCGCTGTCGATGCATTGTAATTTCGGTGCGTTGCGCTGTCGATGCATTGTAATTTCGGTGCGTTGCGCTGTCGATGCATTGTAATTTCGGTGCGTTGCGCTGTCGATGCATTGTAATTTCGGTGCGTTGCGCTGTCGATGCATTGTAATTTCGGTGCGTTGCGCTGTCGATGCATTGTAATTTCGGTGCGTTGCGCTGTCGATGCATTGTAATTTCGGTGCGTTGCGCTGTCGATGCATTGTAATTTCGGTGCGTTGCGCTGTCGATGCATTGTAATTTCGGTGCGTTGCGCTGTCGATGCATTGTAATTTCGGTGCGTTGCGCTGTCGATGCATTGTAATTTCGGTGCGTTGCGCTGTCGATGCATTGTAATTTCGGTGCGTTGCGCTGTCGATGCATTGTAATTTCGGTGCGTTGCGCTGTCGATGCATTGTAATTTCGGTGCGTTGCGCTGTCGCCGCATTGTAATTTCGGTGCGTTGTAATTTCGATGCGTTGCGCTGACGATGCGTTGTAATTTCGGTGCGTTGCACTGTCGATGCGTTGTATTTTCTGTGCGTTGCGCTGTCGGTGCGTTGTATTTTTAATGCGTTGCGCTGTCTCCGTGTTATATTTTCTATTCTTTGCGCTGTACATGCGTTGTACTTATAACCCGCTGCTCTGTCGATAGATTACCCTATACAAACATACTAGCACTGCGTTGCTTCATCAATATGTCTCACTCTTAAATCATTGCACTGATAAAGCATTGCATTAATGCGTAGTATTAACATTACGTAGTAAATGGACCGCAAAATGTTAAACTTGAAAAAAGTGTTCACTATACAAATAAGAAAACGCGCCACCTTAAATAATGCTGAATAATAATAGTTGGTTATAATCGTTTCAGGTCCATTTTTGCCGTGCCAAGATCTCTTCGACTGGTGGACACTACGTTGCGGTGTGTGGGTAGTCTTTTTGCTAGCCATGCTTGGCAATGGAACCGTAGTATTCGTGTTAATATTCTCCAGAAGCAAAATGGACGTACCACGATTTCTAGTTTGCAACCTTGCTGCGGCAGATTTTTTCATGGGCATTTATTTGGGTAAATAGAACACCGATACCGATACTTTATATCTTCAACAAATATCATTCCGGTATCCACTCCGTAGGAATGTCTTTCTAACATATTTGTTAATTGCAGGTTTACTGGCAGTTGTGGACGCATCGACGTTAGGAGAGTTCCGAATGTACGCCATACCCTGGCAAACTTCTGCCGGATGTCAGTTGGCCGGTTTTCTGGGTGTTCTCAGTTCCGAGTTGAGCGTGTACACGCTAGCAGTGATCACATTAGAGCGGAACTACGCTATAACCCACGCGATGCATCTAAACAAAAGACTGTCCCTAAAGCACGCTGGCTACATAATGACGGTGGGTTGGTGTTTCGCCCTGTCGATGGCCAGTTTGCCCCTCCTCGGTATCTCGGATTACCGAAAGTTCGCAATCTGCTTGCCATTCGAGACGACGGGGAACGCGGCTCTGGCATACGTCATCTTCCTGATGCTGATCAACGGAGTGGCGTTTCTGATCCTGATGGGATGCTACTTGAAGATGTACTGCGCGATCAGAGGCTCGCAGGCGTGGAACTCGAACGATTCCCGGATAGCCAAGCGAATGGCACTGCTGGTGTTCACCGACTTTCTGTGTTGGTCTCCCATAGCGTTCTTCTCCTTGACAGCCACCTTCGGATTGCAGCTGGTCTCCCTGGAGCAGGCCAAGGTATTCGCGGTGTTCGTGTTGCCGTTAAATTCTTGCTGCAACCCGTTCCTGTACGCCATCCTGACCAAACAGTTCAAGAAGGACTGCGTGCTAATATGCAAGGCGATCGAGGAGTCCAGAGTGACTCGGGGGATAGGCAGGTGTCGACACAGCTCGAACTTTAGCAATAGGCAAACACCCGTGAACACGAACAGTCTGGTGGATCGATCGTCCCGCGACAACCAGCTGCCCTGCGCCTGTAACTCGAGGCTGCTGGAGACCAGCCAGTGCTCCGGTTACCGACGATGGGGTACCAGGATACTGTGGCCCTGTGCCAAGGATACGAGACCCCGCCACGCTCGTAGCGACCAGTACGCTTACCAAATCGCGGAGATCCAGCAGAAACAACACAAACGAGCCTCGTCCGTATCCTCCAGCGAGAACTTCTCCTCGTCCAGGTCGGACTCCTGGAGACAGACGCATCATTGCGGCATCCCGTTGAGGTTGCTAGACCCGAAAAGGAGAGCTTCGTCCTGGCTGATCACCAGGAAGCCCTCGCAAGACTCGAACCTTAGTTCCTCCAGAAACGACTCGTCGGGGTCCGCTACCACTGCCAGCACCAGCACTTGGAGGACCTCTAGATCCAGCGCGTTTCTGGAGGTAACCGCGAGGAACACGCCTAGACCTGCCAGGGCGAAGCCAAGACTGACCCGTCAGCTGGCTATACAGGAACCTGAACCGCCAGGATCTCCGAGCAGATTGGCTGTCAGGTTACTGGCGACCATACCGTCCGCTGCTGAAACCAGCGACCAACAGGACGATGACAATACGCCGCAGAATTAGAATGGGCGTAATAAGGTACCTCTGGGTTCTAAGAGATTATAGTCAGGTCTGATGGACTGAGGATGTGGGTCTCGGGTGCTCCCGAACGGTTTCAGTATTACAAGTGTACTCTGGGCTAGAGATACATCTGTGTCGAATTTTTTGTACAGAGCGATTGTTAAATGTATTTTTGAGTTCATACTGTGGTCAAAATAGATGTTTTGCTGATTGTGAGAATGAGGTATGGTTGAACTATACCTCATCGTTACACTAGAAAACATACAGGACTTTCATTCAGTAAAAAGTTCTTAACTTTGTGCCATTACAGTCATATTAGAACGAATTATTTTCTCTGGTCTTTTATTACCTACATAAATGTGAATCAACAATTACTCTGTACATCTAAGTGACTTTTATTGCCAAGATAGTCGTGAAGAATGTCGTAGAAAAGGAAAGAGGAGAATCAATGGACGATATAGCGAAATTAGTGTTTCATTCAAGTTGTTTACTGCAGATCTCTTATCTTTCATTGAACCCTCAAACTGAAAGTTAATCTAAGAAGATCGAAATAACTTGTATCCTCTTTGTACAATTATTTATGCAACTGTGTTGGTAGACATCTACCTTTTATTGACCGTCCGTTTTTTGCGTGCACACGTATCGAGAAGATGCAATTATGGCATACAATAGTCACATTAGATACTGCCAACAAATTTGGAATATTGAACGCGATCATCGAATAGAATAATTTAATCAACGGATACGGGAGGTTTATTTAATGCAAATTCAAAGAGATTGGTCGCAAGACTTGTCAATTGTTTAAGGAGGTGTTTTATCGTAAGAATATTGTAACTTCAATTCTTGTGACAAGGAACTGGACGTCCTATGTATAGTTTTCGATAAGATTAGGAGGATAAAGTATTTATTAATAAATTAAAAGGACACACAGTATCTTTTTTTCTTCTTGGCTCAAACTGTTGTTCGAGGTTTATCGTAGAGATCAGCAGAGACGTTGCTAGAATTTGTGGGGCCCTGGGCAGATGCATCATTGAAAATAGTAGGCTTTAATTATATCGCTACATGTTTTATAAGTATAAATTGTACTATTATAAGTTTGCACATTTTGAAACTTGTGAAATCATAGATTTGAAAATTTGTAAAATCATGGACTTGAAGATTGTAAAATTATAGATCTGAAAATTTAGAAAATGATTGATGTAAAAATTTATAATTTAAAAATTTTAAACTTGAAGCCCTCTAGACACAAGGCCAAGGCCCCACACTAACAGCGGCACTGATGATTACTATTTAAAAAGAAGAAAATCCAACTGTATCTCGATTATTAATAGGTGTGTTTGCGTTGTTATAAGACTGACGGTTTATACAATTTGTCCCATGAATATCTGATACCGATTTCTAGTTGAATTTACCTATATAGTAATAATCCGTAAAGAAGTTTTAAGTAACTCTGGTAAGAAACGAATAATTGTCCGATTTAATTTATTCGTTAATTACTAAACTGATCGTACAGATTCTCACGTAAGTTTCATTACAAAAACGAGGTCTATAAACATTTTAGATGTAAGAATTCAACTTGTGAATGATCGAAAATCGATCTTATCTTATCAATCGAGGATTCAGTATTTTAAAAAGCGTTTCTATATTGCGGGATTTGTGGATCATTTTAAAATCATGTATTCGTTGATTGATCGTGGAACTTTGTGAATGCAATTATAGTTACTTAAAGATTATTATTATATAAAGTCGTTATAGCGTATAAATGTTTATACAAAGTTTTTGATTAATGAAATTAGCGTTCGCTAGTATTGGTTTGTTAGGATAGTTTGTTGTTGAATGTGTTATTAGTTCTTCATGCAATTGTTGATCTGAATGAGACTTCTAGATGTAACTTATACTATTTTACAATTCTCATCAAACATAATTTGATATAAAATGCAAAGAATTGTAAAAGTCTTTAATACAGAATGTCTGTGATCAACCAGTGTTTTAAGAATTTAAAAAAAATTTCTTTCGAAGAAGTACTTTACCAACAACACAATATATCAACTTTGTTTGTTTCCATTATTTTTCCAGAACTGAAGGTGACCTTCAATTTTTTGATCTTTTAATTCTAAATGAAAGCGTAGGTCAAAGTTCTTGTGTATGATCACACCTTAACGCAAACATCCTGTATAGATTTCAGTGTTCTGTTATCTCATCGTACAACAACTTGACATAAATCATATTATAAATGTTCAATATATTATATTACAAAGATATACAGATTGAATCATGAGAGTAGAATATTGAAAATGCAGAATACATTTTTGTATCATGAATGTACCTTTTGAAAGGTATTATATCTATTACACAATGAACAACAACAAAAATTGACTTATTAAGAAAAAATTTGCATCTTGAAGTCTCGAGTGTATGAACTGTTTGAGTCTAGGCTACGAAAGTCTGAGTTTTGCTGCATTTTAAAGAGAACATGTGTGTATGTCCGACACGAACTATTTAATAACGTTTTTCTAATAAAACAACGTATTACGACAGATCAGTGTTGCAATTTTTCTACAACAAACATCGCAAAGAAGAAAGGAGAAAGTCAATGGTTTCTTCTTGTTCTGCTGTAGAATTTGTTTATTTTTCAAAAATGTCTTTTATTATTTCTATATTTCTTGCACGTCCCCATAAATTATTTAATACTTATATTATTCGAAATGACAGTTCTCGATGAAGAGAATTGTAATCGTAGTGTAACAAAGGGTCATAAACGACATAATTCGATGTTGGGTCAATTATGAATTAAGAAACTACAACAAAACTGACACATTTTATTCTCATACAATTTATATGATGCTCGCTCTACCTTACAAAATGTAAATCTTAGAAATCAATAGACAGGTCGATTCTTTTTGTATTTTCAAGAGGAAGTTATTTCGTGATAATTTGATATAAGGCATGAATCTCTTATGTGGACGGTTTGATTTTTAATTTGCTCTTTTCTGCTGAGTGGAAAATGAGTAGAATTAATATTTCTATTTAGGATCTAACCTAAACGATGCACGGTTAGATTTATGGTTACACGAAAGGAGAAGCGATATCGCAAGGTTAATAAAATTGCCCCTCGACTTTATATCGATTTAAACTCGTGATAAAGGGGCCACAAAGATTTATCTTTCCACAGTTAACAATTTAGGGGTTGAAACGTTTCCCCAACGAATTAGTCGGAAATTGTTCGAATAATCTTAAACTAAAAATTCAAAATTATAATAAAAGGAAGACATTTAAAATAAAAATGAAAGATAGAGAATAAGTTTGAACCATCGGTAATTAGAGGATCGTGTTAATTCGGAAGCCCTCGCTAACAGTGACATTGTAAAATTTCTTTGAATTCGTAATTATAACAATCTGTTTCCCGTGTACAATTATCTATTAATTGAGCCTAAAGTATCAACTATTTTCGCTTATTTCCATGTACGTTTATCGAACTTGGTCCATTAAATTCTAAATCTTTCCATATAATATTGCTCTCTTATGATACACATATTCTTACAGTCAATATAGTACATGTTTTCTTACAGTTGAAGATTCTAAAGACAAAATCATGTTTCGTTATAAATGACCACTTTTATCAAGAATTTATTAACGCATTAAGTTAATATCATATACAGTTAGTACATTATGTACATACATGGTTTAGATACTAACTTAATGCTTTAGTAATTCCATAACCATTTGAATAACTTAATCACTCAATAATTATTCTTGAATAACTGAATTCTTGAGTAACTCAATTCTTCAGTGAGTCAGTAATTTAATAACGCAGTTATCTTCACACGATTTTCCTTAAAATCTTCACAAAGTTGTTACAGTATCATTTCTAAAAAGAACACTTCTCGCCTTTAAATACTTATCAACAACGTAAACTGTACATCGAAATAATCAAGGTATTAGTTCTAACAAGCTTTCTAAACAGCCTCTCCAGTGTTACGATCTGAAATGAACCTGTAGTAAACTGAATCCGAAGTTCAGTTCAGAGCCCTGAGATACTAAATGTGTCAGTTTATCATCAGGAGAGGAGCAGACGATTAACGCAGGCCTGTCCTAACGCGGCCATATAACGCGACGGACCAACACATAGTAACATGTGGTGAACTAACGCGTTGTATCACTATACATGATCATATGTAGTAACACAATGATTTAACATCTGACGAACCAACGCATAATATAACGCATGGTAATCTAATACATGGTCATACAGCGTGTAATACAATGTTTTGTGATTGTGTGATAATACAACACGTGATGATCTAACACGTGACCAACCAACACATGGTAATTTAATAAATGACCAACATGTGGTGGTTTAATACGTGACCAACCAACGTGTAGTAATATAATGTATGGTACTCTAGTACATAGTAATACAATAAGTGGCGATATAACGCGAGGACCTCTACATTAGGCAGGCCTGCCTTAACAGTAAAGTATCGATTGGAAAAATAAGCTGGCGAGAGGAATGCGGAGAGAAATAATCGCAAATGGTCAACGAAACGTCTGAGCTACTCGTGGAACCAAGTGAAAAATACACGGCAAAGTAAACGCAAGTTACAGAAAATACATCGGACAGCATAGGAGAAGATAAAGCGGAAGTGGATCGTTGATCTTGCGGATGTTTCGAGCTACCGGGTGAAAAACGAGTAACAAGCTCTTGTTTGTACTCTCCGTGGTTACAATTTTCTTCTACAATAACACATGTCACAATGTAATAGATTCAGAGATCATTGTCTATCTATTGATTATAAGAATATTTGCCAAAAAATAAGAACTAAATTCATAATAGAAACACACCATTTGTATGTCAATCGCAAAGTACAAGACTTAGAATTTTAGATAGGTATCTTATTTCTCTAGTATTATTAATGAAAAATAAAACTGATCCACGGAGAAACAAACGCTGCGAGGGACATGACGCTCGTCGAAATTGTCTGCACAGTGACCTTCACATCCATGTGACAAGGTCGATTAAAATCTGGTTTTAACTTATCACGCTATTCTTTATACGTGGATATACATTTCAGAGAGTTCCAGCCTCACCGCACTTAAGCTTCTATGTGTACATACATTCATATATATATGTATATATATAATAATATGTGTATGTATATTATATTATTATATATATAATAATATATATATACTAAAAAAGAAAGAGCAAAAGAGGAAGGAAAAATATAATGATAAGAAAGAAACCACTTCATTCGGTAGGGAAGCGGTAATAAGTTAATTTTACAGTCTGTTGAGAATCAATGGTCCCTCAAGGTCACTCCCACCACTTTCACTATTTCAATTATTTAAAAAAAAAATAATGCATCAGGATACTAGTATATCCTTTCTACTAAATTACTGCATACACTTCTTTGCTGTATACACTTCTTACAAATATTATAAGATAGAAATAACAAGTTTTCTTCTATTAGTTTCTTGCAAGTGAACATAAAGTACTTTATACTTATTAATCTGACAGATTTTAATGGAAGATATGAACTGCCAAAGCATATTTCTAATGTGATATTGTCACAAGGAAAGTTACAATTGTTAATTTCATATGACATATGAATACCTGACATAGGAAGATTAAGATCAAAATGGCAGCCTTTGAAGGACCATTGATTCTGTACAAACTATAAATCTAAACGCTAAAAAATGAAGTACAATAACAGGCTTTAAAATACTATGTGAACGTTAAAAAAAAGAAGAGAAAAATATAGATAAACGACGCAGGGTGTGAAAACGAAAACGCGACTAATAAAAAATGCCTTGATTCGTGCGCGAACAATTTTGTGGAAGATCGCGAACTTTGATAGCTTGTCGAGTACTGGATAAGCACAGACCGTCTTTTTCTCCTCGTTTGCCACGAATACAATCCTTCGAGGTCCCCTCACAAGAGTGGACTGTCAATTATTGTGCAAATACGTGTTTTATATAAAAGTGCTTCGGTTGATACTTTTAAACCATTTTATAAAAATCTGTTAGTTTGATTACATATGCATATACTTGCACATATTGACAGTCTTTGATCGTACGATTCGTGGTTTCTCTTTCTTGATCGCTCGTGGTACGTTAAATCTAATAATACTTAGAGATTTAGCTTAATATAAATTCGTCTAAAAAAGAGGATGACGAACCCTGACTGTGGCTAGTCAGCCCTGTTATTGCTTTTTCAATGGTATACTATGTACAGTTCAATAGTTGGACCTCAAAGGATTATTTGCTATTAGGTCATCCTATAGGTAACAGGACTTAATTACTTAATTAATCTTTTTCAAAAAATTCTAGATGTTTGAAGTACTCATTGATGTTAGATGTTTGCCTTCTAAAATATACATTGTAATGACAAAATGTGGAATTCTTTTCAAAGTTACAAATGTTTCAAACTTGATTTGCTATTTCATTCTAGTTCCATTCTTTTCTTTTTAAAGAAATATAAAATGTTTAAGTTACCTATAGAACAAGCTAATATTAAACAATTACCCTCACCATATGCAATTTGACTTTTTAAAAACACGCACAAGAATCTTACAAGTGGAATTTTTGATTCTTAATTTGATGTTTCGTTATCAAAATTCGTACATTTCATTTATAGTGCCTTATAAAACATTTTCGCTTCATTGAGATGCAAAAGCAAGTAACACAGAATTGTTTGAGAAACCCAATACGTAAATAATATTAAATTTTAGAACAGAATGATTGATAAAAAAGCAAAGTTCGTGTGGCAAAACAGTAGAAGATCGCTTGTGCTCAGCTTGTACAACAGTGGAAGCCTAAAAGCGTTCGATAAAGAACCCAGAAAACGAAGATAAATAGAGAGAAACAAAATATACGCTAATGGTTACGATTAATCGGGAAAAGAACAGTGAAACGAAAAGGTTCAGTATGTCAGAATTTCGTTTTGCTTATTTCCTTGAAGGAATAAACGCAGGGATGGGCGAGTATTCTCGAACGAGTATCAAGATTAGAATAATCTTTTTTTAATTGGAAACTTCTTTCGTGGCAACTAAATTATAAAAGAAATTTCCCACAATTTTCCAAATGACTGCATACAATGATTAATTTTAAATCGAGTCTCGTCATGGGAAAATGTGAAGCACGAGTTTCATGATCACGATCAATGATGAAATCTTTCTATGTATAGGTCTATGAACTGTTTACTGGCCTTTGAGGTGATTCTAACGATAAGGCGATGAAAAACAGGAATGAACCGAATAAATTTCTACTATTAGCTTGTTGCATATTAAGTCTAATAATAACAAGATGTAACAACAGTAACTCTTATGGTGTAAAAATTTGAAGTTTACAAATGTGCTACTTTGTAATATTCATTAACATGCAACAATATAATAGTAGACTGTTCAAAATCAATTGATCGTTCAAGATTTATCTGGGAATTTATAGAAGAGTTACTCAACTATGAACAAGAAAAGATAACTCTTGTACAATTCAGTGGATAGTATTCGTTAACCTTTAATATACACGTGTTGAAAAATCAGCAACATCTTGATTTTAATAATATTAATTATTCACTTCTTTAATTAGTGACTATGCATTTGAACTTCAGTCCATCATGATTACTAAACTGTTGTACTTCTAATCAAACACTGCAGATAAACAAGTTCTAAACTCTACAATACACAATGTAAAGCATGCGTATAAATGGGAAAACCTATATAACACCTTTCATAAATAACGATGCAAATCTTTCTTTTCTATATTATAAAATTCCTTACAACCTCAACTGCTCGTTTTTTCAACACAAGTTTCCTAGAATACTACCTTTTTTCAACGCCTTAAACGATCAATTAAGTTTGAATGAATTCTAATATCGTTTTTTTCTTCGCCACTTAGAGAGACATACATTTAAAAGATTAAAGTTATCCACGAAGGAGCGTAACACATAGAGATTCTTTCGCCTCAGAGAGACATCGCAACAAGATTTAATTCTTCAATGGAACGCAACAGGAACAAGGCTCGAATCAAACATAAATAGGTACAGAGAGCTTTAACTTTTTTTTATGTCGTTCCATTTGAAATAAAGGTGACGAAAGGTCGCGAATTCTTCGCCCACCCCTGAGCCAAACATATTGTCGTGACTGAACAATTTCGGTATCGCGAGTTTAAAAATCTAGCTACCTAAGTATCGGACGTCGCTTGGTGGGTGTCTCTTTGCAAACAGAACGAAAGATTTGGCAAAACGGAAGACACACCGGGGCACCAAAAACATCCTACGCGACAGTAGCCTAGTGGAACGTTCGCTTTAAAAACTTATTATACTGGTGTTAGCCAGGAGGTCCATTTGTTTCAATTTACTTGGACCTTATTAAGGTCCTTAAGGCTTTTACAGTTAGTACTGTTCAAGAATTTTGGACTTAAGTAGTGCCCGATATGTACTGAAGTATATCTAATGTTGGAGTATTAGAACACTTTCAGATTACTGATAATGCTAGCTGCAATGCTAACTTATCTTACTGGACATATTAAATTAAAAGTCTTGAACAGTACTATTAACATATTGACTACCATGATGAACACTGTTATATGTGCTACCGTAGCATGATTATTAAGTGCAGGATCATTTCATTAACATTGCTAAAAATTACAATGATCAACAATTGCAGTATTATTTTGATTGACTTTTATATGCTTTACTATCACTTAAAGTATTTTTGCAATAAATATTGGTCCATGTGATACAGAATATGTTAACATGAAACTCTTTTTTAATTTTATTCCACTAGTGATCACCAGTATAGTCAGCATGTTAATTGAGGCTCTTTACACATTGCACTGTAATTCTACTACTATACACTGTACACTTGGCCTTACATTGGCATAACCTTCTTTAACATAATACAACTTCTTTCTAATGGTTTTATCTGTACACTTTCGTATAGTACAGTCACATATTTTACAGTTTAAAGAGCTTTCAATGCAACTGCGATATTTATATTACAAGGGACGAACTATACACGATACCAAGGGTTTATCAGAATCAACTGGAACAAATAACATGCAGATTCCACGAATTTTCGAGCTATATTTGAGCATATTGATTAAGAAACTAGGAATATTATTATTGAACTACAACTTTTTAAAACAATAGATGTGACTATTTCACAGACTCCTTAGCCTTAAATTTTCAGTTGTATATTCATTCTGTTATAACGTTAATCCAAGAACCTTTAATGTCTCAGTTCATGAAATATATCTTCAAAACCTTATAATGGAAGCCCATTTACACTATAACAACATGATACTTATTCCCAAAACTGAAACTGAAGTAAATATCACAGTTTGATGTATACATTGTGTCGCTTCACTGCAATTAACAACAGATCAAATGCAGACAAAGTGTAAAATATAATTTTTTCTATGATTTTGGCACGCATAGATTAACCACTTGGATAGCAATGCCTGAAGATGTTTAAATCTCTAAACCAGAGATTCTGAAAGTATGGGTCAGCTTTTTACATGAAATATCAAAGTATAAATACTTGATCTGTGAGACTTTGAGACTTTAAAATTTTAAACCTTGAGATTCTAAGACCTTACAATTTTGTAACTTCAAAAATTAATATAAAATAATAAGACAAGTGACCAAATTTATCTGCATAATATAAAAAAATATATCTATGAAAGCTTAAAAAATAGAGTGATTAAACTGTTCAACAGTTGACTCTGATAATATCCGGTCCTCAACGTACACCAAGGTGCCAATGTCGAATCTAAATCTCAGGACCTCATGGCCAACCTATTACCCTAAACGTTCCACCCTGCTACAGTGTCTCTCTATCGTGTACGTTACATGTATTTGCGTATACGTATTGTAAATACGTGTATAGAAAATCCGGTCGCAATTAACCAACCGATCAATTACGAACCGGTTCTCCGAGGCAAATTGTTAAGTGCACGTCGCGGTTTAACCAACTAATCGTTAAGAGTTACAGCGTTTTAAGTAATGGTACAACGCGATGTACGATTTGTTATGTGACTAGCGGGCATTCATCACGTGACCTTGGCCTTGTTCTTCCTGAACGCCGGGAATAGGATCTTCCTGCGCCTTCTCTTCATCTCGTCATTATCCGTGGTGGAGTTGGAGTCCGTGGAGAGGGTCTCTTCGTCGACCGACATCACAGGAGGCAGTTCCTTCCATGATTTCTTGTGACTGCTCGTGGCGACGCTGGTGCCGCTCGTCGTGGTGCCCGTGGTGTTGACCATCACCGAGGCCGAGGCGGTCTTCTGCTGCCCAGCTCTATCCTGACCCGACGAATCCAACGAATTCTCTGAATACGAGGTCTTCGGCAGGAATGATGAGGTAGTCTTGTCCTCGACCGCGAGGAGCAAATTGATATCCTGACTGTGTGACCGTACGATGTTCGACTTTTCTTTGCTGAACGGCTTTATAGGCTCGTCAGGACCCTCGCCCACGGTGAAGTGCACCACGTTGCTCTCTGGAGGTGTATCCTTCCCATTCTCGCTGCTGGACGAGTCTGGCGGCACCGATGACTCCTTCCACGTCAGGCTGTCCAGGGTACCTGCGGATCAGGATAGAAAATCAACACTTTGTACACCAGTTTCTTAATTTCTTTGATTTCAGACACGTTTTAACATATTTGCTGAAGAAATCCAGGAACGGTTCGCTCGCTGTGTCGCAGGATTTGGAGATCGGTGATTGTGTGCCGCAATGGTCAAATGGCAATGATTACGCACGCGATTTCGCGTGAGCGGATATTTAATATGATACTCAAATACGCGACATCCCGTGAACAGCAGCGAACGTGTTAATTCATGTAATAAAAAATGAACGACTAATAAACGGCTCCAAGTGTCTTTCACTTAATTTATGATTTAAAATGACGTATATCTGGCAATGTTTAGTAAGTAAATATTAAATTATGAAACGATAATATTTATTTTTGTTATGTGAACGGTAAGATGTTATTATTCTTATTAAGTGTCTGATGTCAGAATAAATTATTGGAAACATCGAGGCGATGATATTAATGAATGTCTAATAAAAACAAATGCAATGTTAATAAAAACAAAGAAAGACATTGGAACACCGTCTTGAAAGTTATTAAAAAAAGGAATACACGACACGATTTCATGACATAAAAACAACAAACACGTTCACATTTTCATCAATCCTTAAACTTTAAATACAGTACAATTGCTACTATTATTTTCATGTCATAAAATTGTGTTATGTTATTATTAAATTTCATCTCCATGCAAAATCAAACATCACGGACAAAGAAAAAGAAATTCAATGAACAATATTTTCATTTTATATTACACGATTACAGGTACAGACTCTCTTCAGTATTCTCAATAAACTATTATAATTTTATAATATAATATTTATCTTAATTTTCAACAATGTAAGGATTTACCAAAATTCCCGAAGGAAAATCATTCCAGTTGTATATAATTCTGCATGCAGTTTCGATTCCATACTTTACCAGAAGAAACAAACACAGACATGTATCTCTCACGGATGTGTCGATGAGACTATCTTGCTATGTTGTTCCGTATTAGTAACGACGAAGTCAGAAGAGTACAATAGACAAAGCAGAAAATTCATTCTTTATTGCTTCAACTAGGAAAAATAGTTTCGTTACGTTCGTTCAAAGATATATCCTTCTATAGCTCGTTTCATCTCGATACAGTAGACTCTCGTTATATTGCGACCCTTTATGCTATTAGTTGAGTGTTAAGTTGTATGTTGCGTGACTACGTCGTGTTATTAGTGCACTGTATCGTCAACACATTACATCGCCACTTATACAATACGTAAAATCGTCCGCAGCAATATAACAACGTTCCACTGTAGCTTGTTGACCTCATCAATGTATTTACAAGATCAAATCATATGTCTAACGCATCTAAACAAAATAGATCACTTAGATGTATACAAACATGTTTACATACAAATTACAATGCGAGAATAAATGTTACAGATAGTTAAGATAACTTTGCTTGCGACGTACACAAACGATATAAATTACGGTGATATGCTTACAAATATCCAATTTTAATTATCATCATAGTTCTTCAGTCGTGTTAACGAACTGTCAGATATTAAGGTTTATTCAGTATTATAATTCTTCGACCATAAAACTTCTACTGTCAATATACTAGATTGAATCTAAAATACAGAATAAATAATTCGTACAAAATTTCAATATTTCGATTAAGTGACGACCGGTAAATAATGTATTAATAAATTTCCTGGTCGGTGTTGAGCTGACGTTTGAGTTCAAAGTATAAACATTTCATTCGTCGTATTTATACCAAAACCATCCTGTTAATCGAACGATGATTACTGCACTCGTTACTCGAGCAGAGGATTATAATTAGAATCGATCAAATACAATTATTCCGCGGAAATAAACATTAGTCTCGTGTGAACAGAACGCGTATGTCACCATCATATACCGTACGTAACCTCGTATCCGTTTGGTATGCTCGAGTTTATTATAAGATAGAAATTAAAGCGCTCAAGAATGCACTGCTCTGTTACCTGAATGATATCCTGGGATATCGAATACAGTCACATCTAATTTTAATTGAATCTAATATTAAACGTGACGTGAGTTGTGTCTGAAATCCCCTGAGAAATAGAAATCGTTTTTTGGCATCGTTTGTTGCAAGATACCTGCCCCAGCAGAGCTAGAAATTCCGTACTATTCGAGACATTTATCGAGCTATAGTCGCGATCGAAAATTTTCAATCGCTGAAGGTCACTTGCCCCACCACCATTAATTCAACGCGATACGGGAATCCCTCATCACTGAAGCAGTATTTTGGTCTAGACATTCCATAATGTTAATGCGCATTTTTAATAGTATTTTAATGACATTTAATTTCTTAATTTGTATATTGTTAAAATACTATATTTCAAATTAATTTCAGAGTATAAAAAACTGTTGACTTCATTAATTTTGAAGATTACACTTTGAATTACTGACATTTTATTAATTTTGAAATTTCATATTGAATAATATTCATATCCATGAATTAACTTTTAATAAACAGGAAGCCAATTATGCACAGACATGATCAATGTAGGCTAACAAAGTATAAATACATTGTAGTTTAACTCTTGAATCGTTGAGAATAAGAGTATCTGTTGTAGGTTTAGTTGTTACTGCATTGAATGCTCAAAAATAATGTCTTTAAGACTGACTGTCTAGACCAAAATACCCATATAAAGTTTTGTTATTTACAGAGAGTACACAAAATAATGGAAATGCTAAAAAATTTAAAATATGTTGTGTATGCAACATCTTTCATAATTCACACAGTCACTCAATTTTAACATTGCTTGGTTACTTTAGTCAATTTTTGTGGTTGATATTCTAAAGTAACTGGATAATATTTTTCAAGAAGAATAGCATAGAACTCTTTTTCATATTGTTTAAAGTTTATAACAAGAAAGATTAGGACCATGTATCACCCATACATGGCTGATGCTTAAATTGAAATATTGTGAAAATAACAAGATTTGTTAAAAATAGAAATACTACTTAATGAAATCATTCAACAACTTTAGCATCACGATCAACATGTTACACAAACATATACCTAAAACAAGCATTACCATTACTTCGTTTAATCAGTGTAAGTTACTTTTTAGTTATAAATTTATTTTGTAATTATTTATAAGTATAGAGCTTTACCACCTATAACGAACGGAGAGTGTACTCATATATTTTTATAAATAAAACTGAAATAAAAGTGTGAAACAAGAATCCATTTGATGTCCAGTCAGCTGTTCTTGTTAGAGAATTTGGCTACTTGAAAATTTTTTACTTTGGTCTTTAACTGTCCTAAAGGGACAAATTATAATATGTGTATATGTATATATCATGTATAATAATATAACAAGTAATCGATAATCGGCACTTATTCTTAAATAAAGTGATAATATTATTATCACGCTTGGCACTTGATTATTTTAGATATATTACTATTGATATTCGAAGGAACGAATTAGAAGGCTCCCTGGAATTTATTGAATTCAATCCAAGTTTGGATCCAAGAAGAACTGAAGCCGCAGTCATGCTATAAATTAACCTTTGCTTCTTAGTAATTAAACGATTTAATTGCTATCATAGATCACAATCTCTCAAACTTCAAGGAAGATGAACGCACAAAGAATTTGAAACAATTTTTATGTGTTATTCTTTTAAGATAATAAGTAAACTGAAATATTTACTTTGGTCGAATAAAATAATATTTTTCTGAAATATATTATTTGAACACTGCCAAACACTGGTATAAATTTCAGTTTATATTTTATGCTAATGATCCTATGACTTCGTTCAACCTACACTTAATAATGCTTATTAAAAAAACTACAAGAAATCCCTAATTCAAATAGAACAATTAACAACGAGTTTATTGGTAAAAATATCACATTTTCTTAACATTTCATAGGATGACATTGTGCCCTCGTTCGCTCGTTCGATATGTCATGAAAATTTTAGTACAAAAATATGTCATGTAACTTCTCAAAACGTTACTCTAACTTTTTACACTGTATACGAATATACATAATTGCAAAAAATATTTGGATATAATTGGAATAAAACGATGTTTTTTCGTATAAACTAATAAGTTAACAATCACTTAAAAGATTTATCACTGTTTGTCATTGAATTATCGACACACTCTTCATCAAAATTTGACAAATCTTAATTAAGGAAAGGGAATATTCTAACTGAGATTCTTCCCTTTCCTTGCACACATCCTTTCAGCAGAAAGTTTTTCGATATTTTTAATACTAGTTGCATGTCATGTATTGGATACGATTATAGTTTACTTGCGCTATTAATTTTCGTTTGTATGACTGAAATGAATTTGTTTGCGAACACTGTGTTCATGTCACACATTACATTAACATATATAATTTTGCAATAGCTAAGCTGAGAGTATTTTGATTCTGTGGATAGATTTCTTTATACAAGAAGTTTACGTGCAGGATGAGCAACACACATTCAGATAATATGGCTTCATTAATCTTTTTTGGTACCACTACTTTTTTGGAACTCTACAGTTTCTTCCTTCCCTAGAATCAAATGATAACATAATATGAACAAGTAGCACTATGGTGCGAAAAATATTGAATGCTGCAGCACATAAAGTATCAACAAATCATTTTACTTTGTCATGAAAGAACACTACAATTGTAAACTGATCGCTGTCAGCGTTGAAAACAATGTGCAAATATGTATACACACATATTTATTCAACAAATTTTTGCAAAATCAAAATTAGTTTAAAAGAAGCACAAAAGTGTGTAAAGTATCGAAGACGTAAAACATCTTGAAACAGGACAACTGAACAATGACAATTGCAGCACAAATTTACAGCAACATTTTGCACACGAGTCACAAAACAAGGACGAATTTTAGGAACACCAAAAAGAAACAAGTTTTAGTTGAACTCACGTGTGAAAAAATTGTCTTAAAAAGTTAGAGAAATCAATATTGAAATTCTTCCGAGTACTAGAAATTACTAAATATATTTATTTAAGCTTTTGTCATAGCATGTCATATTTTTAAGAACCAATTTTGCTACTTGCACTATATTTTTTCTAATTTTTAAAGTTCTTTAAAACGTCTATCAATTTTACTGTAATGTGTGACATTTATAACAATTATCTGCATCTTTCAGAATGGCTGGCATTCTTCATTTTCTCAGTCATATTTTATCAAAATTATTCAGCACAAAAGATTTAGATCGACGATATACAAAAACTAATTTGCTCTTTTCTTTTAAAAAAAGTATTATAAGGTATCACCTTAGACATTTTGTCACTAAGAAATAAAAATTACAGATGTTTACACGGCAAACAACTTATCCATAATTTCATTACAAACATTTTTAAGCAATTATTAGATTCATTAGAAGCACATTAGAACGTTTTTTAAAAAGTTCGATATTCGATTGATACGGGAATTCGCACAATACCCTAAGTTTCACGAACATCTACATTAAACAGAAAGATTAATTTTACAAAAAACCCAAACTGCTAATGCTAGGAAAACAAAAACGAGTTAGTAAATTATTAATCTCGTCGTCCACGTGAAAGAAGACAATATATAGGTGTAAGTATACAGTAGTACATACAAACTGAGCATTGTTATTTATCAATCTAAATGCTCGTGGAAGTCCGTTTCCAGCTTACCTGCGGCACCACACGTGGAAGGCGAATATACTGAGCTTGCTTCGTCATCTAAGTCATCTTGGCTGCTGAGTCGACCTATAAGTAACAAATGAAGATAATTATTCACTCGAATTTTAAAACAGTAAAACAATATTTTTTTATTTAATTATCTGCTTCCTTGACTTTGGAAATCTAAGCCTTGAAGATGTTGCGTCATTATAATTTTAGAACTTTTTTCTATCTTTATATACTTGAATATGTTTAAACAAATAAGAAAAAAATATAGAAGGTATATTTTTCATGAATGAAAATGTAAATACCTCTAAGTCCGAGACCTCGACCATTGGGTGTTCCTCTATAGAGAACGGTTTCTAAATAACTTAGACCATTGTTGTTGATAATATTAAAACCACATAAGAGTTCAATTTGTTTCCAGCGATATACTCTCTCTTGCAATTCCGCAGTTACTTCGTTTAATGCAGTTCTTGCTTCGACTATACTTTTGTCAACTTCGTCGATAGATTTACCATGAGTCGAAACAAATGCTCCTACTAAGCTCGATCGTTTTTTTCGTAGTTTTTCGCACTGGAAAACATCGATAAATATTATATCTTTATATTACAATGTTATAAAAGTCAAATGTCAAAGATATCTTACTGCTTCGCGGGCTTGCTGTAATTGTTTTTCTGCTGATATTTTTTTCTTCGTATATGCTTTATTCTCAATTTCATGAGTTAATTGTAACCAATGTTGCAATCCTGGAGGAGGGGACCAACACCTGTCTTCAAGTTCACCCTCTGCGCGTTGTAATTCAACTTTCAACATCTATGAGGTAAGAATGAATTACATTTTAAAGGAAACAGTTTCGCATCTTGAAAATTAAAATCTATACGCTATTTACTTCTATCTCAGCTTTTAATTGAGAAACTTCAAGGTCGGAATAAGATGCATGCAATCCCATACTTTCATCTTGTAAACGTTTCTCCAAATTTTGCTTTTCTGTAGTGGCACTTTCTTGTTCCATTCGTGCCCTCTCAAGTTCTTTCTGTATAGTAAAAATACATTTTGATAAAATCATAATATATTATTAAGATATAAAAAGAACGTATAACACGTACTTGTAGATCTTCAAGTGCCAATTCTGCTTTATGTAAACTTTCCATATCCTTCATCATTCTATGAAGGTGTTTCTGTGAATTTTTCTTCTGCTGGTATACATACCAGCAACCAATAAGTGCTCCAAATAATAACGTAATTAATATCAAATCTTTAATGCTATGTCCAGTATCTATAACATATTATTTTAGATAAGTATAGTGGAATAAACAACGGACTGAATCCAAGAAACATTTCTTTATGCATGTTTACCTTTTGGTGGTCCAAAAAGAACTACATCCATAGCTTTTAAGGCAATCTTTTGTTTATGGATGGGATCTTTAATCCCTAATACATTGCTCAGGTAGTGCATATTGTTCACAGCCAACCTGTAAATACAAAAAGAAACGTTTGTTAAATAAATTATTTTCATAATCTGTAATAATATAGTTCCTAAAATATTCACCTCGGAAGTGTAGCACCAGTTACACGATGTTGTATAAAAGTAGGAACATATTGAGGAAGCTCTACGTTAGAAGACAACCATTCAGATGTTTGTTCTATAGTCCAATTATGAACCTAAGAAAAAATATATTTACATATAAAATTTAAGATATGCACTGAAATCTAAAATTATTAATCTGAAATCTGAAAGAAACATTTTTCAGTACCTCTGACCTTAACCAGGCTTCCCAAAGTTCTCGAACACTGATGTGCATATCATCATTATGATGAAAAGCCCTCTGCCTCCTTTCATACCCAGCTTCATATTGCAACTCTTCCCTTAAGAACTACAAGGAATAAATTTCATTTTTGTATGACAACAAATATGTAAGGTTAATTACAATATACTTACATCATCCGATTCTGAGAGGTCTACATTTCCATTGGCATCATCATCCAGTTGACTGTGGAGCGATTTGATAGCTTCTAAACCTAGTCGATCATGAGAAGCCATTGTGAGACAAGCTAGGTCATCGTTACAAGTTTCGGAACCTGTAATAAATTAAACAGCCTACGTTTGATTGTATGTGTTTATGATTACATTTAATCTGTTATGCAAAAGCCTTTTTATTAAGATTACATCTTTATCTGTTAATGTGATAAGCATTTCATCCAATTATATTAATGTGAAGGTACAATAGGCACAATTTGTTAATACACAAATAGAGTAAATTAAATTTTCTTGTAGCAATACAAACAAATTTTATTATTGCTGAATGACATGAAATAGATCTTCAAGTGATTTTATATTAATTTTTATCATAAACACATTTGTATCTTCTTTGCAAGCAACAAAAACAAAATACACTGAGTCTACCAACAAAAACATACAACTGAACTTAGGAAACATCTAGATGTTTATCCTCGTAAAAAGCAACTACTAGAAATATATTAAAAGAAAAATATATTAAAAACTAGTTGACATATGCAGTTTTTACTTAGGAACAAATTAGTTCCTTGCATGTGACCCAAATAACATTTCACTATATAATGACATAAGGAAATTCTAAATACATCTATGATTATTTCAATACTAATTATCCAACTTTTATATGAATTGCTTATGTGAAAGTATATAAAATTTAATTTCAAGTTATTTATAAGATATTTCCATTTTATTCAGTAAAATCTTAAAAACATAGTGACAGTCTTATTTTCAACAACATCAGTAGATGTTTAATGGTTTCACTTTGTAATTGTACAATATCATTACAGTAACTAAGTACAAAACGAAGATCTGCACCTGTGCAAATACACATAACCAACTACCTTCTCTTGTTGACATTTTTTAATCTTGTTATGTCTGTTATGACTGAATTGTATTATTTAATATGCCATATAAAACCTTCATAAATAACTACTTTAACCAAGGAAGAAAGGCCCATAAAAATTCAGCGATTAGTTTGTAAAATAATCATGACATCTGTACGAAGAATATATCTTATTTTATATTGAAGATACAAACAAAAGTTAATTACTTTTAAATCATCCCTTTCATTTTCTTCTAAATATACAAACATGTAAAGTGTTATCGCCCACTATGATTATAAAACTAAACATTAAGAATAATGCTATAAATTATAATCATATATACACATACTGTGTATACACATATATATATACCAAATCAAAACAAGAAATATAATGAAATATATTTGATGATGCATTAAGGAATGATAAAATGAAGACAACATAGTCAGTGGTATATCATGGTATACAAAACAGACATTAACAAATAACAGCGAGACATTTACCAGCTTCATGGGCCACAGCCTGTGCCAGTCCATCTGTGAGAGTAGCAGAAAACGCTGTAACTTTGGAATGTGAGCTTCCGGAGGAGCCAGACTGAAAGTTCGGGCTTGAGTCAAGGGCACCACCGCTAGCATCAACCGTGTTGCAACACCAATACAAGAAGTGTAGCCCGAACAGTACTATCACATCGGTAATCACGGATGCTCGCATTTTAAGGTTAGCTACACCTTGTCACTGACACCTCGCGCCCCCCTTGCGCAGCTGCTACAAGTCAAATAAAAACCAAATACTCTTGGCCCGTTGTCACCTTTGACGTAGAGCCGCAATAGTGAATACAGTCAAGGTTACAGTTATCAAAACCGGGGTGGCAATACGATTTGACGAGTGCATAACACGCGTGACCGATTATGATATTACAGTAGGCCCACGAACGAGTTGCACAACATTGTTATTGGCTTCATCAAGGCGTCGGTCAACGTCCGAGATCTATTTTTTAAGGCGAATCGATTGATTTATTAATTAAGTACACTGCTCTTGTCCGAGTTGAGTTTTTCTATCAAGGCCACCCGTCCACGAACAACGTTGCGAAAAATAATTAATTTAGAGAGGAAACAACGGTGCACCTCCCTGCGCGCAAAAAATAGAAAATTCAATTGGTCATGTGCATGGATTATACGCGGGATTTTATTGGCCCGATGTTGCACTTGTCATGGTAGCGCATTGCCAGCGCCAGTGCAGTATGTGGAAATATTTTCTTTATTTTGCGAGGGAACCGATACGTCGAACGACGAATTTTCATTCGTACTGCGCAGGTCTACATTAATTGGTCTAGTGTACTCTGTAATCAGAGTAACACGCATGTGCCATAATAATGTTTGGAACCGGGTGTGTATACCCAGTGATCTTTTATTTCGCATACTTTTATTTAGCACATTTCTTGCTAATGCTTACACAAAAATTCGTTATAATACATGTTATCATCAGCTTTCTATTACGTTACGCTTAAGTAAAGCAGAGGTCTACCGACAATGCTTTACTGACATGTCTTCCATTGCATCTCGGGTCAAATAATTTTGTACAATTTCTTTAAAAAACCGCCACATTATTGTGTTATTGCGCATGTGTGATTCAGGAGGGACAAGAGATGCACATATATATCGTTCTTTTTCTATCGTTATGCCGCTTTTTCAGCTCACTCACGCACTCTATTCTGATATTTCTATGGTGCAGCGCGAAAATCAGTTCTAAAATGTTTTCTCGCAAACTTTATATTCGGGTGAGACGAGTATTTGAAATACTCGAGAAATTCTCAAAAACTCATGAGCGTATTGTTTTTTGATTGAATTGATCATTTTATGATACTATTATTTATAATAATGTGGTCAATTTTTTTATATTAAAGTACCCAATCTGATCTGAAATACGCTCAGAGTTGCGTGTTTGTACGAACGCACAGTACGAAAGAGATACCCATTGGATTTGATAAATTTTATAGTACATAATCTTTATAATTTTTTAATATATTTTGTATATGCTTATACAGCAAGCCGTGTACTCTGTCGGACGCAAAAAGGATCGTAGCGTCGAAAGTCAGTCGCGAGAAAAGTATCCTCAAACATTACGTAGTTAATACTTTTAATGCCTACTGATGTTGTAGCAAAACTATCTATAATGTTTAAAATGTTGATATTTTCGCGTTATAGTTTCACCATTACACTTGGAATTAATACAATATAATCAATCAGTAATATTAATTTTAGTTATAACTTTCTCAGGCCCTTTTTTGTATAAAATGAAACATAGAAAGCATACATTTACTAAATGCACACACACTGTTGCGTTTTTATTTTGACTCTCTGTGTTATCTAATAATAAAGTAATATCTAAATAACATTGTCTTATCTTCTGAAGCTTCTGACTTCACAAATGAGTTAAAAAAGGACATTATCTGTCCATTGATTTCATTATTGATGCAAATTTGGTTCAATCATTGATTCACATAATTTGCTGAAAGTCCATTAATTTTGAGAACACAATGATGAAATTTGGAAGATATAAGTAAATGGGATCTCATTATGTGTTTTATGCAGAATGAATTTTCTGCAAGAATTTTTTTTGTATCCAGAAACCTTGTTCAGATAGTACATGTTTGTGGATGAATTGTACTTTAATGCAACAACAAATTATAATTACATAGCTTTTAATATTGTTCTATTATGAAATAATCATATGGATATTGTAGTTGGATTCATAGTTGCTAAATAAAAGCATTATTATTCTAAACATTACTTGTTTCAGCAAGTTGTAAAACTGAGGAGAACTGGGAGCTTGAAACTATTGAACTTCAAATTATTATGAAAATATCATAATGGAGAACAGCGTAACAAACGAAGAATATGAAATTCAAGGAACTAGTACAATAACTAAGAAAGAAGAAACTTCTGTAGCATCCCAGGGAATACAAATCTGTTCTGATGGAAAAGTATCAATAGATTCCAAGAATACTCAAGTCCGTGTTGTAAGGGGTACTAAGAAAGTAAAACTAGATGTTACTGACAATAATAATTATGAAAAGAAAGGTTTGTATTAGATGTAAAGTTAATGTAAATGCCGTTACATTGTATATCTATAAAAAGAAATTATTTATGATTATATCTAGATTCTAAAGATGAAGAAACTAATACAGAAACAAAAGTAAAATCTCTCAAAAGATCTTGCGAGTTATGGTCTATGGAAGATAAGAATACCTTTTTCAAGGCCTTGAATGAGTATGGAAAAGATTTTGATGCTTTACAAAGCTATTTCTTATGTCAAGGGAAAAAGAAAGGCCTTCCAGATGTTATGATAAAGAACAAGGAACAAATACGGCATTTTTATTATAGAACATGGCTAAAGATTTCTAAACATTTAAAATTTTCAGAAGGTAGTTACAAAATATTGAATTTAATTTAATTTTATTTTTTAATTAAAAATAACATATGTTTTGCAGATGTAAAGAAGACTTCTCAAGAGTTATATGGTTTGATAAATTATGGTGAACTCAGAAGAAAGTTACCTAGAATACATGAAAAAATACATTTAAAATTAAATGAATTAGTATATTGGGGATCAACACAAGTTAGACTAAGAGGAAAAACTATGCGAATTAAGACACCTATCTGTAGAGCACTGAGAAAATTAAATCAGTTGGAAGGTATATATTTACTGAACAAAATGATATCAAACATTATAGACAATTCATAATATATATTTCACAGATTGGCAAGAAGAAATTAAGTTACCTTCTAGAATAACAGTTGAGTTAAGACCTCGAAACAATATGGCATGGTGGCAAGTACAAGCATCATCAATGAATCCAAGAGTACGGACTTTATTACCTATACAAAGACGTTTGTCAAGTTTGTTAATATTTTTACAACAAAGATGGAGGCCTGCAAAGTACAACATAGTATCCTTATTTCAAATTATATTATTCATATGAAGAGATTTATTATACAGTTACAATAAAATATCCTATACATGTAATGTAGCCTTCTAACATAGAAAATGCAGCTCTTAACGAGTTGAAAGACACCCGACTTTTACGGGTAGCACCACCTGATGGATGTAAAATCACTTTGCCAATAGTCAATCTTGGAGAATATCTTACCAGCAATAGTGTTAGTTTGAATTCTTATGAAAAACGTCTAGGTTTGAAAAGTTCCAGAATGAACTTGTTAGGATCAGTGCAGTATATTAAAGGAGTTGGGAAGAAAGGCATTAAAAAGAATAAAGTAGACAAAAAGTGCTTGAATCGAACAGAAGATAACTGCACATTGCCAGATAATAATAGTGATGTGGATGGAATAGAATCTGGCAGTAATGTTTCAGAAAAAACTTCAACTATTAATAACGAAGAAAAATCAAATCCAGAACATCAGATAGAACCCAACAGGTTTCCAGGAAGGGAGACAATTGATAGAATTCGAAAAGGATGGAATGTTGATGAAGCAAATACTATCACTATAGGAGATCTATTTTTAATGGTATACGTTTTATTCGAAGTTGTAAATAAAATTCTAGTATTGTTTGTTTAAGCATTGGAAACATATCATTTCTAATTTTATAAGTTTCCTAGTTTGGTCGCGAGTCCAAAATTACATTGGAATATTGGTGGGATTGGCACGTCAAAGAACAACAGACTGGAGAATCTACATCAAGTAGCTTACATGATAACAATCTGTGCCTAACTTTGCAGAAGTTATTGTCCATAGCAAAGCACAGTTACGGTACAAGCAAAGTAAGCTTTGAGGATTGAACTTTAAACAGATGTTCTAAAACTTAAAATATTTTATAATTAAATGTATTATTCATTAATATTTAGGTGTATGATAATACTTCTGGAAGCAATGAAACTGTGGTTTCATCTCGTGTACTTTCAACAAGAGAGTCTACCTTTAGAAGACCTCTTGTTCCACAAACTTACCACAAAATTGGCACATCAGATGCCTTTAAAACGCAATTGGATGTAAGTTGTAATTTTGAATGTTAAGAAATTAAGATACATTAATAATGTTACTATACTTTGTCAAACACAGAAATTCAAAACGCGCTTTTGTAAACGAGGGAGGACAGTAAGACAAAAAAGTCTTGTTGTCCAAAGGGTATTACCAATAATATCTACATCAGGTAGTTCACCAGAAAACTTAACTCCTTCTTTCGAAGAGACAAATAAAATAAATGATCCTTCCATCAGTAACAACGAGCAACAAAATGATAAATCATTAACTATGAATGTAAGTGAACCACAAGAGAAACATTTCTTGGATGAACTTGAAGTGGTAAGAGACCCAAAACCTACGAATTCCATCATAACAAGTGCTACACAGATACTTAAAGAAGGAGAACATCAATGGTTGAATAGTGAGGTAAATTTTCAATTTGATGAATTGAGAATTTTTTAAATAATCAATTTGAATAAATTTTATTAATGCAAAAATTCAATTGTAGGTAGCAGATTTTTCATTAAGTAGTTTCTTGGGTCAACTTGAATCCCCTATGAAAATTTCACAGAGAAGTCAACATGGAGACAGTATTGTAGAAGATAGTCGACCATCATCTGATGTAAATATCAATAGCAGATTAAAAGAAAATTATTATTATTACTTTGATATATTAATAATATTATATTTATATTACAGGTTGTATCACATATGCAATGCCTCATGGGAGAAAGCAGCGTAGATTATATGGCAAAATTTGCAAATCTCGCATCACAAATGGCATCAGATGATAGCAAAAGATAATAATATAGTAATTAATTAAGTTTTGTATAAATTTTGACAAGACATTTATCTTCTATCATGTAGATTGGATGTCATTCTATAGTTGGGTATATATCAATATTTGGACTGATTTATTTAATCTTTTTAGTATTTAATTTATCGATCTTACGTTACCATAACAATGCAACTGTTAATAAATAAAGAAAACAAACTTGTAGAAATAAATGAGCCGTTTATTTTAAAAGTGACACGAGTCACTTTTATGTTATTTTCAGATATTGAATGTTTTGTATTTCAATGTGTCTAAAAATATATTCACATGTTTACCATGGAGGAATTTCACCAGTATTTGATAACTTGGTTACTTATATTCTTTTTAGAGTAAATAATGTAATAAATTGTTATTCTGTATTATTGTAAAGTGACTCAAGTCACTTTTAAAATCAATAGTTTGTAAACATTGCAAACTGAACAATTCATGCGCAAAAAAATATTTCGAGCTCGTCCGATCGTGTCCGACTTCTGACTCAACACGAGCCTGCGGCACAATCCCAAATCATATCTTAGGGACCCGAAAGTTTCTGAGTTGTGCGCATTTGTATATAATATAGTCTTGCTATATAAGGCTACTGAGCGAATTACCCTTTATATTAAATTTTAAATTTAAAAAATTTGTCTGTAGGATTTTGTCAATCAAATACCATGAAGTAGTGTATACGACTGTTACTGTAATTTATTACATTTCTATAGCTTCGTCCAGGGCAATATAGCAAGTCTCTATAGTATACGTTTGACAAGATACTTTCGGGTTCATATCCAATCCTGTAATCTCGAGTACCTGCACATTCCTAATGTATACTTATAAATATTTCATTGTACATTTATGTTTCTAGAGATCTATAGCAAGTATGGTGCAAGTACGAGAAGAATACATTTAAAGGTGATCTTCCTTGTCCTTGTTTAATCCGCGACGCGGCATCTACATGTATGTATGGAATTATTTAGACAAGTTCCCGTCTATAACACTTGGTATTGCGTTGCAGTCCCATCTAACTAATCACATATGTATGTTGAAAGAAAAAACAGTAAATCCTCGTTTATAACTTCCTTTCACAGAAAAATTCTATTATAGAATTCGCTTCTGGTTTTTCGGCATGCATTAACTCTAATCAAAACAGATAAACGCAAGTACTTACATGTTATTAAATTTTATTGTTTACTTTTAATTAACTACGATCTTCTATCGATATTACAGTTCCCTTTAAACACTTGACAAAATGAGTTTCATGAATGATTACAACTTTACGACCGAAGTTATGCTCGAAGACTAAGCATATGATATAACAATGCAAAAATGGATATTGTTATCCGACGAAGATCCAGGAAATAGTAGCGATTATAACAGTTTAGAATGCTGCAACTATCCAATGTTGGAAAATGAGAAAAAAGTTAAGATTGGAATCGGGAATTACCTTCAGAGTGTAAAGATGGTAGTTCTCGTCTAAAATTAAACATATTTGAAAAAAATTGTAAATACGTGGGTGGAATATAATTGAAACGATAATGAGCGGAACATCCCGAGGATACTTGTATTCTTGGAAACGAAGCCTACGGTCTCTTCAACGGTACGTTGCGAAACAGACGTTGTAAATGATTCACACTGCCCGCGTCCACGTGATCTTGTACGTATGCACCTATCAAGTATTTGTTATTTACAGATGTGATTTCCCCTGGACGTAAGCGCATTTGTGCAATGAACTGGTTTTACTTGTTTTATTCATCACAAAAATGAAATCATTAATCAGATCTACTTTCTTTCAAAGAAGCTATGACGTGTTTGATTTTTAAGAGAACATACGGAGAAGCATGTGACATAATTTTTAAACTGCACTCTGTCAAAAATGTGTTAGAACTACGCTACGTACACTTACAAGATATACGCAACAAATATCAAACCTATTTTTCTACTTTATTAACAAAATATACAACGTTTCATGGAAGAGCCTGTTTGTATATTATCATATCCAAAAATGTTCTATTTCTACAACTCTGTCTCTGACAGTGTGACGAGACTACTGTTTCCATGAATATCATTGATACAGAAAGCTAATAAAGTTACGAGACAAATATTAAACAGGATATGAACTTCATTTGTAGGTCATGCTTTTCGAAGAACAATATTTGTTTATATGGAATAACAATTTTTTTGTATCGATATGCGATATCAAACTTATTGACCTCAAGTTCGTAGTTGACAAGATATTTAAAAAATTCGATGTTTTAATTTTTTTAATTTGCCATTAAAAAACAAGGACTGTAAAAGCGAAATTACAAAGTATTTAAGAACGAATTTACACTTTGTACAAAATTAGTTCACAATGTTATTTCCTTGTTGATCAATAGATTATGTCATTGTATATCATTTCGAGCCTCTACTTTAACTAAGGAATAAAGCTGAATACTCCAAATTTGATATTTTACCAAATTTTAATATATAAAGTAATACGTTCCATTTAAAGGAATGACGATGACCTTGAAATGTCTGAGATGTTTCCGCTTATAAAATTAGCGCACCGTTATGTTGCCCCTGAAAATATGCAACATTTTTACCCAATTATAATAATAAATACTTTTTATAATTATCATATACAATCTTTAATAGTGTCCATTGATCTTAAAAACTGTTTTAAACCATGTTACATTTATTAAAAAAAAAAGAAACGAGGATCTTTACTCGGAAATAGATACTTAGACAGAAACTTTAATTCACGTTGAAAAAAAAATTAAGAACCTGTTTTGCAGTCCGAAATGACCTTTCTCGTTTCGAAATGTATTCGATTACGCAGAAGTTTCAAGGTACTGCGCTTCACAAGATAAAAAGACTGCCATATTGTGGGATCGGAAAAAAAGATTGTGCTTCGCTCTTAATTTTCTTTGACCTTTTTATTCCGTCTACGTATGGGCTTTCCAAGGAATTTGAGGTTTCATCAACGTACCTTTTGTTTACGAAATGTTTAAACAGTCAAAACCAGTTTTTTGTTTTCGCGTAGAAGAACCTCTCTGCCTATATCTAGATACATCCATGCAGTTCAAGATATAAATCAGTGCAACATTCGTGTTATCACATTGAAAATGCATATTTGATGTTCGATTCACCTTCTCTTTGATAAACGTCCAACGAATTTATTCCTGTAACGACTTATCATATTAAACATCGACATTTTTGCTTCGCAGAATCGCGACTAACTATCAATAAACATGTGTACACATTGTACACGTCCGTAATCACTCTTTCAATCCGTTCTTTTTCATCAAACGATCAAGACAATTTTGTATTCGCGTCGCATCAAGTTTTTATTAACATATTTAATACTCCTCACTTGCTCGTTCCTAGAAATGAAAATTATATTATTTTTAAGACGATAGTTTTAATTGTTAACAAAAATATATGCGCATAGACAACTCAGGTAAATACTACCTCATATTTAGTTAAAATTTGAGTCAAAAAGATTTGATCAGATATTTTATCAAACCTCGAGTTCGAACTCATAATTATATGTATATTATGGATGATTACTTATCGCCAAATATCCATTCACGCGGCATCGCGTGGTCAGTCGATAATGCGAATTAACTATTCCTACAATATCATCAATTACTGATACTAATATCTACTCAGACGGTATTGCGTAGTTGATCGTTAATGTCTAATATTCATTTTTGCGATATCGTACAGTCGTTAAACGTTAAATGTCCGACCTTGCGATATCGCATGCTGTCACTGTTCAATATTCAATTACGATATCGAGTGGGCGACTCTGTCGTTAAATCTTCGTTCACGCGGTATCGCGTGTTGACTTATTACCATTCGAACGTTGCAGCACAGAGCGACCTTTATACCCCCGCCGCAACCACGCGAAAACACATAAAACTTTTTAGAATACAATTTTGCATGACAGTGTTTTCAAAATACTTCACGAATTTATTCATATGCATTAGTAATCTAAATAAACATAAGGAACGGTACCACTGTGATTACCGTAGTAATTTTATGTTACATTTACAATAATAATGTAGCATAAATCATTTTTGAGGAGACGGGCGATCACACATGTCATATAATAAACACTTCGAACATTTCATTGTGAGGGTCATAACACCAATGCAATAAAAAAAATTCCCCAATCACGGCTCCCGATGACATTGTCGCGCTTCACTTAAAATTTACATACATAGGTTATGTTTATTCGCGAGTCAATTATGTCCCAACCGGCGCAAGGCAATTTTCTGATCGTATTCGGATAAACGAATGAAAATTAAAAAAAAAGAGGGACAAGAATTCTTGCTAACGATTAAAAATCATTACGTGCACACAATGGCATATATAAGTTCGTTTTATTGCTGCACAGAAACAACGCTGAATTATAATTTTCAATGTTTCCAATTGGAAGGTTGCTCGAATATAGATTTATCTGCAACAATGTTGAAACAACTGCAATGAATTATACAACGTTCAAATGGACAGTGATCGACCGACACGTGTTTGAAAGTGTCTTAGTTTCGTAAAACATTCGTAAAAGAAACATGATTGTTATTATGTTCTTCCATTACATAATTCTGTTTATACTCTAATCAAGCTTAATATTTCGTATTTTTAAGTAGAGCTGTCTGACTCTTTTGGGTTATGAGTCACAATTAACGAAATTGCATATGTATACATATACAAATATACAGTGATAGTGTTGAATAAAAACAAGGTGCATTGTGATTAAAACGAAGCAAATTAAAACTAAAGTGAAATGGCAATGAAAAAATATTATATAAGGTGTTACTAAATTACAGATATGAACAAGTTTTATAATTTATAAATCAAGGTTATTTGAAGAAATTGAAGAGAAAGATTTGATATTATTTGGATATCTCTATGATGTACCTTATCATTTCACGTTATCGTGCAGAGTGGTCCCTACGAGTTCAGCGGGCACTTCATGTACCCATAATTCTTCTTCAGCATATCATCTATTATCCCGCGCTTTTCGAATTTTAACGGTAACACTGTTTAAAAACGTCTCGTAACACAAAACATAAATATTAAATCTGTAGTAACTCAAAAAGGGTTTTTATACTTGTTAATAAATATTTAAAATTAACGTTTAAATTCTGAAACAGTTATTTTTAAGATAGGTGGATTAAATGTTCGAGATGATTTGTACTTCCTCTCTGTTTACTTCCGTAGTGGCTGCGCAGGAAGTGAACGCACCGGACCGACAAAAACGTGGTTTATAAATTATCAGAATGATACTGCGTACGAAAATGAAGGACAGTGAATTCCGTTATGTCCAAAAACAAAACCGAAAGACCTTGAGATCTGAAAAATTGGAACCAAAACATGACCGGAAAATATTGTTTGTCATTTCGATTGAGACCTTATTTTCGTTTTTACGAGAGACTCGGATGATTCATCCGTACGTGTACGGCAGCGATCATCGGTCAAAAAATAAGACGAATCCCCATGCGATGGTACAGGTTCGAAAGTTGTTCGATAAATTGTCGATTTGTTCGCAAGTGAAAGGGAACACAGATACGTAATCGAGAAGTTTTTCTTTTACACAAGTTTTAATGAAAAAAAAAATTAGTATTTTTCCAATCATTTTTCCTTTTATTTATCTTACTCTTCCTTTCGTTTCATAGCTGATTAAGTATTATTAATTTTATTAGTTAATTGTAGGGGACGTATGCTCAAAACAAGAATCCATGAATTGACAAGACATGAAACCAATACACGAAACGCATAATGCGATTACAGTTGTTTGAATCAGCAATTAGTAAGCTATAATTGTTCCGTGGATTATGGTTTATATTTATCAATAAGGAACCATATTACAAGGATAATGAAAATAAAGGAGAAAAGAAGAAAAAGGTGAAAAAAGAAAGATTCATTGTAAAATAAAATGAAAACCACGGTAACTACCAACATGTTTACACTTCGATGTCGAGACAGCGAGGCGTACTATAAATAAACGAGACCATAGGCGTCACGAATATAAGAGCTCTTTTTTTTTTGTCGAGTTACATTCGATGAGAAAGAATGAGAAAGAAACCGGGTTAGTATGTAAATATGTATTTTTTATTCTTAATCGAGTAACTGTTATTTTTATGATGAATTTTATAGAAAAATAAAAATCGGTTGTAAAAAGTTATTAAATAAAGAGATTCTTGAATTTATGCAGGCGACAACTTTAGAAGAAAATATGAGACATTTTTGAATCTATTATACCTTAAAACTAAAGGAACTGAAGAATAAATATATAGGAAACAGAAGATCTGTTCAACATTTGATTTATTACGTGAAAAAGCTTGTTAACATTGGTTCTTTGTATGAACACAATAAAGCTGAAATGTGTGTGTACAAATTAGGTATTATGTTAGGTCAGGGTGAGTTAAGGTGGGGCTATACTAAAGTAGTATAAGCTTAAGTCAACATATACTTATGTTACGATTAGATTAGGTCAGCGTAGAGTTTGGTCGTAGTTAGGTTAGGTTAGTTATTTTAAATTGCATGGGAGTATGGTTGGGTTAGGTAAAGGTAAGATCAAACTGGGATTAAATTAGGTTAGAGGTAATGTATATACAGGTTGACCATTTATATCTTAAATATCTTAGAAAATGTTCATTGTGCACAAAAATGTTTTAAACAAAAATTACATGGTTTCAGAGAATAAATTATCTGGCGAAAGTAACTTTCTTCTACATGGACGCTTAGAAAAAATATGAAGATCGTCTTCTAAATGATGAACACAGCTTGATATTCTTTACACGAAAGTATTTGGTCACTTACGGTGAAACATCATAAATTGATTAGCCCTCAGCGTCCTTCTTGTTATTTCCAAGACCAGTTCGCCACTGCATTAGACTCATTTAAGCGATCCGCCAAAAGCATTCCCCGAATGACGTCATAGGAGTTCTCTGTAATTGCGAATTCAAGTTCTGAAACACGTAAAGTCCTGTGGTATCGTAAAGGTAGCACGCATCTCGGAAAAATTTGGTATGCGTACGAAACACGTCGAAGGTATCCTTTATTTTCTTTTTTCTTTCTTTCTCCTTCGTAACGCTTTATCCAACAATCTATCGTATCGTATTACGGTGACAAACGGAGAGCGTGTTGCTATTAATAACTTTGAATAAAAATCTCTTGCAGATCTTCAACAGTTTCAATGTCATTGTTGAAAAGATTTCAATAGTGGATTTCTTTCGAATTAATATCATTCGTCAACTGCATCTCCTTCCAACGCCACAAATCGTTTCACGGGAAATTTTGAGGAAAGAGAATCGAAGTCTTCGATGACAATTTGCATCGTATGGAAATTAGATAACCCGCAAGTTCTAACTTTTCTGCGAAAACAAAAGCGTGGAAAGATTGGAGAACAACACCATTGACGTACGAAATATCTTGCGCTTAATTGGATGTAACAATTTCATATCATTATAGGAACGTAGTCGCACAGCTTGCAGACACTTTATCATCTAAAGGAAATTACTTCATTAACATTTTATTGTATTGACAACACTTTTATTGCTTAATGAAAGTTTGTTGTCAGTGACAACATACGCGTGCAATATCACTTTTATTTAAATACAACCGAGAAAATATGCAATGTTTGCAAACAGCCAAACGAGGTCAGTGTCAATTAATTAAACTTCGATCGCGACGATCGAAATCTTCACGGTTCAACAAATTTTCATCCAATATCTACACTTTTTAGGATATTCATTGACATTTGCGTTCAAAAATGTGTTACACCTTGAACAAGTGGGTGAATCAACAGACAAACTTTATAAACCATAATTCACACTGAAACTAGTGTGTTAAGACTTGTGCAATCTAAATATGTACCCTTTTACGTCAAGTTCAATATCTGTATGCAACCTGCGTTTGATTTTCAGAAAAAATACATGACGTGTAATGTACACAAGCGTACACTTTCCACGACGTGTTTCTCCCTTGTGTTTCTTAATGTCGCACATTTCCAATGCATTTCAGCAATCTGTAAAGTTCTGCTCGACGCCTTATCGCACTGGCGGTTATATACGACGTTGTACGATCAACCTCACTGGGAGACAAAGAGCAAAAAAATTTCTTTCAAATTTTATTATACTTTCAACATACTAATTTCTATTGTTTACAACTATTGTTATTATTACAGTTGGAAATGTCCGAATTAAGAGTTTCAGAATTTGGAACTTTAAAAATTTGAGGATCTATGAATTTGAGGATGTGTAAATTTGGAAATTGGAGGATTTATAAACTAAGAACACGGTATCTAAAGAGACCAATTACTCATGTAAGATTTTAATTACACATGTAGCCTAATATCTTTTTGTTTAACCCATCAGTTATAATGTTCTTCATATCAGGTGATATCTGTGTTAAACTTAAGATGCTTATGGAGCTAAGTAGAGGAAAAAGGAGAGGAAGAATATGTGACCATAAATTAATGGATTAGTAAAGATTTTTCAATTTATACCTCACGATGATCCCTGAAGACTGCCGCCAATGTGGTGTACCCGCAATTATTGCGTCAGCTATCGCGCACCATGTCGTTGGTGATTGGACGGACCTCGAAGAGCGGGAAATCCCCGTTGAAACCAGCTCTTCCGCGCTATCCATCCCCTCGTTTCTCCCGCTGACGTCTTTCGCGTCACCACATTGAGCTGCAGACCCGGCCTTCGTCAGAGACATACCGACGACCGGCGATCAGTATCGCGCTGTGCGTAGCGACATCGCCGCGACATTCTTTTTACGAGGTGCCTTTTGCTGTTGCTAGTTCTGGAAAACAGTGGTGCTATTGATACTTCTGAGTGACACACGCTCAATGATCATTGTGATACCCATTCAGAAGAAGACTGTTACATTCTGAACATATTTATCGAATAGACTAAGTGAATATTATCATGGACCCGTTTAACGATTACGACAAGACCGACTTATCGGAGGTGAGTTCTAATTGGCGCGCGAAATTAGTTCTGTGTACTTACCGTCAACCGATATGTAGATTAGGTACATGCGTGTAAGTCTCATGATTGATAGTGTTAGAACTTTTTAAACTGTTACATGCAACTTCTGGAGTAGGAGTAGTATTTTTACACCGCGATATTTCTAAATTTAAAACATTGTTGGGTTAAAGAAAAACGAGTGTTGTAATAGTTTCTGGTATTTATGGTTTATAAGATATTTTATATTGATTGGTTAAATATTTTTAATGTGGATAAAGTTTGATCCAGTCGTTATCGTATATGTAAAACGGTGATGGTAATTGTATGTTAATACATGTTAATCAAATTTATTGTTAGACATGCCTTTCACGAGCAAAGAGTTGACACATGACAAGATTCACGTGCTGCGGATCAAACGTGCAAAACATTTTTTACGCCCAGTCGCGTGTACTGTTTACGTTGTATAAACTTTCTAGGAAAATGGTTACGTTTAGATGCTCAGTCAAATCAATGTGTAGGTGTTTTTTTTATCACTACGTACATAAAAATTAATACAGAATAAGTGCAGAAATTCTTCGAAATGTTAAAAAGTTGAACTAGTGATAACCTATTTCTAAAAGTAAACATTACTATGAGACATGTTTAGACTTCACCGATTTATATGTGACTTCACATCATTTAGTAAGAATAGGATACCGAGTAGTTTCTTTTTTACCGCAGATTACGTTTCTGCAGGAAACAGTAGAATAATTATATGGATATTTGCATTTAACAATAAGAGAAACGATTCGGTAAAATGATTTATGAGAGTTTAGTAGTGCCGCTTATTATCAGTAATGGGCAATTATGTCAGCAATATGCAAATGACATATTCCTGGAAGCATTTAACGACTGGATAATTTTGCCACTTGAAAATTTGAAATTTTTAGATTCCAAATTTGAAAATATGTCATTTCGAGACCTCGAGGTTACTAAGTTTGTAAATTAGAAAGTTAGAAAGTTCAAAAATGTGTTGATCGACACTAAATATCGGTTAGGTCGATATCGGGTGACGTATTACCGTTCTGAAATCTCCGCTCACGCGGTAGCGCGTGCTCAGACGCCACCGTTTAATCATTACAGCATACAGCTATCAACAAGTGTTCCAGTACACAGCGATCGAAGTCTACCAAACGTCATTGTTACAACTACTAAATATTTATTTAGAATGTACTGAAATATCAAAGTTGCAATATTGATCTAGAAAAGTTGTCATCGAAAACAATGTTATTTCTTGTAATATAAGTAACTTCCTCGGATGTACTAAACTGTTCGTAATATAAAAGCAATCATGGGAAGCATTGATTTATGGGAAGCTGTCAGCTTTCGACTAGCGAACAGTTCACGAAAACAAAGAATTGTCTGGTGTCATGATACCAATTAATATAGCTATCTTGTACTGCGTTCTATTATATTATGCGTATATATCCTGAACTATGGCTACATTAATTAGTATCGCGAACCAAATGCTTATTTGTTTTACCCAATGGCTCAATTCTCGAAACCGATTCTTTGACTAGGGGGATAGCGGCGAACGATTACGGGAGTCCGTTTTAGTGTAATTTATATACATAATTAAGATAATTTGTCAATTCACGGTAAACTGGTTTTGTTATCGTGTGCTTTACCCTCCGTAGAAAACTTTGAAACTGACGGATTTGTTATGCGAACAATAATGATAATACAACAGTGAAAAGAACAACGGTACGCAATTATTTTATTGTAAACTTGTCAATACTCGTTTCATATAGATACACTACTAACAATCACGGAGCAAACACGTTCCTATTCGAGAACGAGATTGCGGCGATCTATCGCTGTTCTTATTGTTGGTTAGGATAAAAAGAGGCGCGACGAAATTATTCGTAGACGCCGGCAAGGTCATTAACGTATAAAAGCTTCGTTTCGAATTTGTTTGTAATGCGATACGTCTGTTTGCAGGTTTACCATTTACTCCCTAATTTCAATGACGATGAGGAACGTGTAATGCTGAATTTGGATTCACAGGAGACACAGAGAACGAATCGAAAAAAGTGTACCTTTGGTAATTTTCAGAAAAATATTTTTCTTTATAATAAAATTTATTTCTTTATTTGTTTTGAAACACTATCGTGTGTAGACGCGTCTTGATTTTACAAAGCGAAGATCTAAAATTTTGTAAAAGTTTTTATTTACGACACACGTAGCGTGTGGCGCTTCATGTGACGCAATTTAATTTTGCTTCATGAAGCTTTTAATCTATTTTTTACCATGTTATTGTAATTTGATTCAACTGCGAGAAACGCCTTATATGTATATATTTCATTGTTTTTGTTGTCCGCTAATTCTGTCGTATCATCGTTTAACAGGTGATGAACACAATGAAATCGATGGTACCGGCTGGTCGGACAAACCTGTCAGAAATTGGTGTCAAGAAGAAACAATCAATTGGTTGATATCTGCAGCTTCTTACATTGGTCAACCATACAGTTTAATTCAACAAAGTCTGGCAGTACCAGGACACGAATTAGTCACCTTCACAAGAGACGATTTTATCAACCATGATCCTATATATGGAAATCGGCTATATGACCTACTCCACTCTCAGCATATCTCAAACTTATGTATGTAACTACTACTGTGCAATAGATAGTGTCGATAACAAGTATCAATAATGTAATCAGGACTAGTTTCAAATTTGTGCGCGTCAAGACTACTTATGGGTACAGTAGACTTCCGTTATATTGCCACGGACGAGACTGTAGAAGCAGAAAATATACTAAATTATATTTAGTACGATTTATGTTGCAATATAACGAAAGTCTGCTGTACATGTAAATTTGACCACTATATTATAATTTTGCAAGTATTATAATTATATGAATTAATTCAATTACAGTTCCATCATTCGAAGACATTTTCTACAATTCCGAAGATCAGTATGCGCGAAGCAATTCTAATAGTACGTCAGGTAAGAAATATTTAACACAATATTATAAAACAGAAAAGTCATTTTATTAATGGGTTTGATCTTGTATTTTTGCAGATGCAGAATCAGATAATAACAGTATTGACGTCTGTACAAAACCGGGTAGACCGGGCAGACCAAAACTACCAAACAAACAAAAACCAAAAAGTTGTATGTATCAAGATGGAAAGTATATATGAATAGTAATGTTTTGAAAAAATTTTAATCGAAATTGTATGATGTTTATAGCTCAAGGAAAGCTTTGGGAATTCATTAGGGACTTGTTATGTAATAGAGAAACTTGTCCAAGTTTAATATGTTGGGAAGATTATTCACAAGCGAAGTTTCGGTTCGTTAAAAGTGACGAGGTGGCGAAACGATGGGGTTCACGAAAAGGAAACACAAAAATGACGTACGAGAAATTGAGTCGAGCTATGAGGTACCTAATAATAAAACTGAACACGAAATTGTGTTATAATGCAACAAGATTTTGTTTATTTCTTTTTCTACATTTTTTATATTTTTACGTTTCAGGTATTATTACAAAAGTAAAATCTTTCTACCTGTACTGGGTCGAAGATTAGTCTATCAATTTGGACCCAACGCGAAAGGCTGGCAGACTGACAATCCAAATTTCCGATATTAATTTTACTTATCACTATAAGTACATCTAGACTCTACAGATTCCTTCAAAGTTTCATTCGTTGTAAAAATTGCATAAAAATTGAGGGTAATATCACTTAAGAAGAGATATTTTCTCATCCTCGTTGATACGTTTTTAAGCATAAACTATTAAGTGTATATTTGATACAAGATAAAAGTCGTAAATATTTTATTAAGCGAAGTGAAATATTAAGTGCCAGTTGAATCAACAATTGTAAAAGACTAAGCAAGAAAGATCTAGTATTATATACAATTTTAACTAGATTTAAATAATGTAAGGACAGTATGAATGAGTATAAATGCTAAGGTTTTTTCATATCAATGTATGTATGGCTGAATATGACAACATGTGTAATAGCGAAATGTGAGAGTAAAGTCAGTTTAATTATATATACGGTTGTTACAGTTTATTTGATTTTAAGCATATATCGATAAACCATTTTACTTACGTAAAAATATACGTATGAACAAGGAGAAACAACAATGCTCCTAAGTTACAATGAAATAAATTTGCTGTCACTTAGTTTTTTATATCACAGATTTGTATTATTTGACTATAATCAAATGCAATTCAATTTTAACAGGCGAAATTAAAATACGTCATAAATAACGAACTTTACACAATATATTCTTAAAACGTTTCTTTCTTCCTAGAAGATTCTTAGATAAAAATAAGAGCAAGTAGTCAAACGCTGCATTGTTTGTTCATAAACTATGGAAGATGAAGTATCGGACTTAACGTGTATCATATTAAGTAACTTTAATTTCAGTAATACTTAATAATCAAATGTGACGAATACCTTATTCTACGGTAGAACATGCAAAGAGAGCTGGCAAAGATATCTTTATTTATAGAACTTTTGGACGATTTGATTATATAGTACCGTGACGGAAAGGATATACAAGCAAAACGCATGCATATATTTTTTTCTTTTTGAATTCATTTGTTCAAGTTACTTAAAGCTACCGAATGGTACTTAATTTGAGCGAACTCGAATATCGTTGTTTATTAACTATAAGCGTAATTAAAATATCGGCTGTATTTATATCTGAATATTTTGTTAAATATATATATATATATTTAATGTAATAGTTGAAAAATTGTTGGAAACTGGAAATTTATATATTATTATACTATTTATGGAACTACTAAAATCAATTGTTTTCGTTCAGATATTATGTGAACAAACGAAATGTTTGTTCAAACGAATAAGTATTTATACCACCGTCTCGCTACTGCTATAAGAATTTTTAAAGAAGACCTTAAATGATCAATATACTTATATTGTCAATATTTCAGGATTATTATTATTAATATTGTTAATATTAAAATGTGGAGAATTCTGAAATATTAACAACTTATGTACTATATTAATCTGGAACCGTAAAAGGAAACAATATCGTGTCAGTTCTTTCAAATTGATCTAACTGTGAGAAACATTATCTTTAAGTTCAATAGTAAATATAATAACTATTCGAAAGGCACAAATTGTAAACAATCATTATCGCAAAATATGCATTATTTCTGGTCATACTATACGGAAAGAATGTGCATTGTTTTTATATAGAATAATTTATGGAAATAATCAATGTGATCTTTGGTTATAAATATGGTAAAATAATATAAAAAAAAGTTTTATAAAGACTGTATATCTACCTTCGTTGCAGGAATAAAATTTAAGCATATAATTTATGCAAGATTACGATTTTTCTTACAAGAATGCGAATTTAATAAATCAGTGACGGGCAGATCAAGTGCTCGCTAAACACCTCGCGCATATAAGCATGCAGCGATGACGTGTGCAAGAGATACAACCCAAAGGAATTCATCCTCTTACTCCTAACAACAAACAAATACAGCTTCTATAGATAGCTACATTAGGCTCTCGTTATATTGCCGACTAGACGAGTTTACGAGTGAGTGGGGAATTGCTAGACTAAGAGTCTCTTATGAAGAATCTCTTTCTATATTGCCAATTCAAAAATCTTTTGCTACTATATCCCGACCTATGGCAATATAACGAAAGTCTATTGTGTATACTCATCGATACCCACAAGTGCGTGTCTCTTTCGTGAGCGCAATTGCACATCACTGTAATAAATCATAACATCATAAAAAATATAAATATCAAATTTTCCACGCTAAACTTTTAAACCGTATATATACCTATCGTAATTAATAATGATAGTCGTGAACAATATTATGGTCAGCAAGCTGTTCTGGACCCTATGGTTTTATTTGTTGGCACTTACGTCTATTACGTGAACTTTAAAGCGAAATATTAAAAGCTTATTCTAAATAATAAACTTGGCTGGTATTTTTAATACAAATTGTAACAATGAGCCCTCTGATGTCTTTGATGTGTCTACGACAAATTAATTTACCAGGTAAGATTTCCCCTATAAGAAAATATAACTGCCGTTAATTGTTCAATTTTTGTTGAAGTTCAAATGCTAGGTTTGTCCATTTCACTTACCCTCCGTAATGCTAATAGGCTCGCTTAATGAAAATACTGTTTGTTTCCAATGCGTGGGGGTTGAATGAGGTCCCGTGCTAAAATGAATTGGATTATCCAAATCGAAGAATATATCAAAATAGCCAACAATCGCAGTTAACGATCCAGTCTTTTTCACTCTTAGTCCAAATGGCGCCGTAAAATTTACACAATCTCTTGTTACTTTGTACAAGTCGAAGTCGTGGATTTCAACGGTACTAGTTATCAATTCGTCAGCATTGCAAATTTCTATACTTGGTTCACGCACGACTTCTGCTTTCATACAGCTCATTTTGAAACCGTACACGTTTGACCAGTAGTCGATAAGTTCGACATATCGTCCTGTAAATTAATTCAACATTTAATACAGAATATAACACGGAATATTAATTTCAAATTATTAGTAAATATATACTAGTGTCTCCACTTCCTACGATGCTAAGGGTACATCTGTTGGGGAGAAGTATACCACCAGGTGCCAAATAGTGGTCCCTAGCGTAAATAACTGTATCCAGCATACCCTCGAACAAAAGAAAATAACCCATCCATTCAGAAACAATTGCATCTACTTTATCTTCATCAAGATTGATGTCTTCGAGACGACCTTTCTTTAAAGTGATAATATCACTCAAATTATTTTCTCTACAATTTATAAAAAAAATGAATATTTCCAAAATAGATTTTCAATTAAGTGTATCAACATTTTAGTATACCTCACTATATCAATAGCGTGATATATTACATCCGATTGGTCGACGCTGATAACTTTACGGCAGCCAGTTTTCGCAGCGAACATAGACAAGATGCCAGTTCCACATCCAACATCTAGCACTATGGAATCAGTAAAACGATTTGCATTTGTTAAAAGTGCATCCCTGTAACTTTCTGTCCGGACTTTATCCTGTAATAAAGTAATACTCATGAAGTTATCATTTCAATAAAAAAAAATTTATATACTTACTGTTAACATTTCATGATGTATAGCAAAATGACTATATGTATTAAAATATCCTTTATCAACATTGCAGTTGGAGTTACCAGAACTAATAGTATTGTTTTCATCTAAATCATCATCAAAGACCAATTTTCTTGCTTTCTCTGTCATTTCATCTATTTGCTGAAAATAGATACAATTAGATATATGTTTTATTTACTATGTAGATGTTAAATTCTATGAATAGATACTTGTTTTGCCAAGGAACACGCTAATTCACGTTGTTCTAACTGGGCTCTGAGTGTTTGTATTGTTCTCTGTAGTTCAGCAAAATGTGCTTCGGATAGTGTGACACAACCATTCTCTGAATTCACTGTATATGCCACAGGTTTCGTTGTTTTCTCTTCTAGATCTTCAATATCTTTACACATGCAAATAGTAAATTCATTTATTAATTTAGTATATATTCATCACATACTCATGGCAGTCAATATATTAATTTATGTGTCAACTTACCAAACATTAACCAAGGATCATCTTCAATGACAGGTCTTAAATATTCATCGCTTTCCCATGTTTTTATATTCAATGCATTCAACTGATCAGGCAAAACATTTTTATGTCGTATAAAATTAATTAGTTTAATGTAAGAATAAGTGTCAAGCGAATGCCTTGTTATAAAATTTTTTAAATCAAATTTATGTGACGCTATTAGATGTTCTAGCGCTATAGAAAAATTACTTGTTACTTCGTTACAAAAAAGGCACGGTATACATTCAAAATCTTCTATAATTTCATTCCAATCATCTCCACTATCATCATCACTGCTTCCATCCATGTCACATTTGTAATTGTCCTTTGATGAAATAACTATAAGATGAAACAATGTTAACAAAATATATAATAATATATATTTGATAGAAAATTGACACTACCAAAATTTGATATACATTAAATATATAGTTTACAAAGGTACTGAATTAAATTTAAAATACTTTTTAAGTTATCTTTGTGTTAAACAAATGTATCAGGAATTTCCAAAGATATTGAGAAAGAAATATGTATGTAATATATATGTTAAGATTATTAATTTTAGCCTAAAATATATAAAAAAGTTATTAATACCTTGCTCAGTCATTTTGCAACTGATTGCAATACGTGATATATAACAATTACAATTATCAAAACAGTAGCGTTTAAATTTTTCAAGGTTAGAGAGCACCGTACGTTCAATTTACTTGTACACGTGTGAAAGCAAGCAAACCCCTTTGGCTTGATGTCAAATCCATAATTCTTTATATCAGATCACGCTGTAGCCAATAAAAATTTGTCTCTGCAGGTGATCCTCCTTAAACTACAAGTCAATATTGATTCTATTCAATATGCAAGTACACTTGACCTTTTAAAGTTATTTTTTAGACCTTTTCTTTCACACTTGACTTCGTAAACGAATTTGAATATTTTTTACGAAACAAAAGAAATACTTTATGTCTTTCAATATTTATATTATTTATAAAAAATAAACAAATTGTTACAGAGCAGCAGAATTAGAAAACGGTGTTACATAAATATTTTATATAAATTGTAACATTAATTGTAGGTAAGTACTATTTTTAAAAATATAACAAAGGTTCATTGAGAGTTGATAATAACAAAAATTTGTGTATTTTTAAAACATATAAAACCAGTTAAAGAGGAATATATGGTGATTGAAATCCTGCAACATTTCATTTGGTGATGTTTGAATTAAAATATATATATATACATATTTGATATATATAGTTAAAACTTAAAAATGATGTTCCCTGTAGAGATCTGGGAACAAATATTTTTGTATACTGATCCGGTAACACTTACAAATTTAAGAACAGTTTGTAAGTGTTGGAAAGAAGTTATTGATAAAACTTTAAAGGTATATAATATATCAGTATAAAAATTATAATTATAATTTTTTTATACTGTTTTATATGTATTAGTAATTAAAATATTAAATAGATTGAAGCATACACTTTTAAAGGGGATGTTAGATGAATATTAATACATGTGTGATTATTATTAATGTTATTAATATTTATTGAAACTGTGTATATCAATTATCTAAGGTCCCCTTTAATTATATAACATGTATCAATTATACTTAGGACAATGATCATTGGTATAAATTATGTAAAAAGGAAATACCAGAATGTTTATGGGTCACATTATGTGAAACATTGTATCCAACTAAATTTTATACTAAGATTCATACAAAACATGCAGTATGGATGGCAATGTACAAATTATGGATGAAATGTAAAAATATAGTGAACTGTGATACAGAAATTGAATGTTTTGAACCATTACCAAAACATAATTTTAATGAATATATTACTTGTACAAATACCAAAGGTAATAAAAACTGCTTCTATATTGAGGGGATTAAAGTTACAGCAGTGTAATTGATCTAATTCTCATTTTAAGAAATGAAAGGTTTTGTTAAATTAATCAAATATCTGTTTCACCTTCTTATATTAATGTACAAGTAGGTTTATTGCTTGTACCACTTTTTTCTTTTAATGAATAGACATATATAGATTATATCTATGTGCAGAAATCAATATTTTTAAAAACTTCTATCCCCTCATATGAAAGATATTAAACTGAAATAGGTATTTATAATAAATACTTTTTACAGGAAGTTTATTAGCAATTGGAACTTCTGAAGGATATATTTATTTTTATGATATTAATAATTTACATGAACATGCAAATCATGTAATAGATAATAAAGAATATTTACGGAGTATCCATATCCTTAGAAGTGGTACATATAAATTATATTAAATAACTCTAATAAACATTTTTTATTAATGATTTTGATTTATAGGATCGGCTATTCTTTGTGTATCTTGCTCCATAAACAATCATGTAGATTGTTGGGATGTTAATCAAATGAAGTTAATTAATAGAACAGGTGGAAAACTAGTTTGGTATGATAAATTTCATTTGGTTAAACAATTGTTCTGGTTATTTCTAAATATTAAATATTTAATAGTACAAGTTACAGTTATTGTTGTATGAGTATACGCAATTACATAATTATCGAAGGGCCAGTATTAAAAACTGGATATGAATTTGGTCTGAGTGATATTGTTGCTATTAGTGCAAATAATAATAAGGTAACAATACAATAGTCATATGTATCCTTTGTAAAAGACATTGTATATTATTCAATATTATAAAATGTTACATTTAAGGTACTCTTTTATACGGAAGGAGGATATTTTGCAACTTTAACTGCAGATACAGAACAAATAAATTATAGTTCTACTCCTGTTCAACCACCAAATATAAGAATTCGTAATTATTACATATTTCAACCAAACATAGTTATGTGTATTACAGGTGAGAGAATATACAATAAAAATAAATACTATAATCATTTTGTTTAGAAAGCATTTCATGCTTTTATATTTATTACAGAATATGGATATTTAGGAATTTTAATACAAGGAAAAGAATGGAAAATGCATAATGTGTTTCCTATTTTACATAGTACCCCTACTGCAGTTTTAGTGTTTGGTCATCTACTTGTGTTAGGTCTAGATTCAGGTATTTGAACTTTTCCTTTATATAATAATTTTCTTATACTAGTGTACAAAACTTTTATGTGTTTTAGGAAATGTTCATTTGTATTATACAGAAGATTTTGAAACATTAGATTTCAATAATATTAATAGTAAAAAATTAACTTTAGACTTAACAGCTGTTATATCATTAAATATAATGGTTCATCAAGGAGAATATTTAATAGTTTCTTATAAGAAAAAAATTTACACTGTCAAACTTCTTTAACACAAATTTTGGATTTAGAACAAAATAGAAAGTCAATTTTTTATCAGAATAAACTAAAAGGTTTTGTATAAAAATTATTCTTAATAAAAGTTTTTACTAAAATAAATAATAATGTTTATATCATAACAAAAATTCTTTTAACCTATTTTGTTTTCTTTAAAGTCATGCTTTATAATTTTGTGCTGTTCCAGTTCCATATATAGCATCCCATTCAACATAAGCAGATAAACTAGATTGAGATACACTAGGACGTACATGTATTAATGCTTCTTTAAAATCATCAACTGTTACTTGTCTAACATCTTCTTTTTTAATATTTTCTAATTGACTAAATGGAATACTCCTAATTGGTCCCATGCTAGCTTCTTTACATAAATTTGACATATCTGCCCCTGAGTACCCTTTTGATTGTTCAGCTATATTATTAACATCTTCTTCGTCGAGATTATGTGAAATCGTTATTAACAAATTATTTATAATTTGTTTACGAGCTTCAAATTCTGGTAGAGGAACATAAAGTCTTTTAACAAGTCGTCTACGAGCTGCCTCGTCTAATTCCTGCGGTCTATTCGTTGCTCCTACAATCAAAATGTGATCTTCATCCCCAGTTGCAGCTCCATCTAGCTGAACTAGGAATTCAGTTTTTAGTCTCCTTGAACTTTCATGTTCAGTTTCAGATCTTTGAGTGAGTAATGAGTCTATTTCATCCACAAAAATAACCGCTGGTTGATAAACTCTGGCAACTGCAAATAATGCTCTCACCATTTTCTCTCCTTCTCCTATCCACTTTGAAGTCAATGAACTGGCAGAAATTGAGAAAAATGTTGATTTGCTTTGTGATGCAATACACTTTCCTATGAGTGTTTTCCCAGTACCAGGTGGTCCAAATAATAAGATTCCTTTGGGTGGTCTACGTAATCCAGTAAAAATATCAGGTCTCAGCATAGGATATACAACAACTTCTTTAATAATTTTTTTGGCATATTCTAAACCAGCAATGTCATCCCAAGAAATGACAGTCTTTGAGTCCATTATTTCATTTTTTATTAACTCAACTAATTTAGGTTCTATATTTTTTAGTCTTTCATCTTCCACTTCTCCTGTTTCATCAGTTTCATTACAATACTTGTCTTGTCCTTGTGTTGTTTTTTCTTTTTCTCTTTTTAAGGGACAAATAAACTGAGAATTAACTGATACTTTGCCACCTAAAGTTTTCTTCTGTACTGGCCTGTTGTTTTTCATTTGTTGCATACTTAACTCATCCCTGGCAGTCTTGAAGCAATTTAATTTAGGTTTAGCCATATCATTGTCTTCTTTTTTATTTTGAAAAGAAGCTTGTGACTTTAATTTTGTATTATTTCTATATACACCTGGCAATTCATGATTATGTTTAGGTGTATTAAAGAAATCTTTTCCTGCAAATTTAGAATGGATTTTAGTCTCAGATTTAACAGATCTTTGTTGTGCAAAATTTGGATTATCCTGATCTACAGGATGAAATTTAAATACTGGTTTTTTATTATAATTTACTTGTACTTTATCACTGTCTTCTTTAGAATTATTTGACCAATACTTAGATCTATTTTCCTCACAATGAACATTATTATCAGTCTTTTTTTGATTACTCAAATTACTTGTTTCTTGATTAACACTAAGATTTGATTTCATTTGAGTACTAATTTTTCTATTTCGTACAAATGTTTCTTTGTTCTTCCATATGTTAATAAGTTTTTCTATGTGTCTGTCATTAAATAATTTTTCTTGACATGGCAATGTGTTATTGTCTTGGCAAGGTAAAGATTTTACAAAATTAAGTGCAGTGTCTACATCACTTAAACCACACTTCCACTTTTGTGGATTATTGTCTATTTTTACAGTTTGTGCTTTAAATTGTTTCCAATAATTGTTTATGCCATTTTTATTTTGCATTAAATTTTGATAATCTTCTAAGCTTCTTCGAAGCAAACAGGATGCCATATCTTCAGATTCCCTATAGGTAATAATTTGTTTTTCATTAAAACGAAATTAGCTGTATGAAACTTGTACCATTACTACTGAATCGAATAATAATTAAACAAAAAATAGAACAATAAAACTCACCATTGTTTTGCAGTTAAGTATTTAACAGCAAGGGATCTACGTTCAATATCCACGACTTCCGTATCATCTTTATCATTTTGTGAAAACTTTAAAATATGATATGCTGCTAGAAAGTTATTCTTTCCTTTGTTACTATCTGCATTAACGATGGCCATATCTACATTTAAAGAGATCCTATATAAATTATTTGTAACAGCTTTACCGGCATTTTACATAGGTTATATATTTGTTGATTTTGCAAGATTTGATATGTACATGCGCACTTACAACGTACCTAACATCGGGTACACATACCGAAAGAATTTTTTATTTTAAATACTTTTTACATTATGATTTCCTTATACTATTTGTACAGTTTGTCCATTGTGTATATAATTGATAAAATGAAAAGTAGCTCATGTTGGGAACGTGAGAAGCATTCTGAGTTCATGTGAGCTGCGCAAAACCGTCCCGTTCTCTCATGAAATAGAGATTTTACTTTACTTTATTGGTTCTCTTTTATGGAAGAGGTCGCTGGGATAATATTTCCACTCATTTTGCCCAAAGTAAAGAAGGTAGTGAGAGAATTGTGAACAGACCGCAACAATGATAAATGTACTATTTGTCATGCGACGAATATTTAGACAATTTAGTACCAATAATGTAAAATCCAATATTTCAAGGGAGAATAGATACATAAACAAGTTTATAAACAAATATAAATCGAAAGGGTTAATACAGTATTTTATATACATTTTATAGTTATATAAAAAAAATTTTATGTTTATAAATTTATATGTTTATGTTTATAAATTTGTAGAGACCCATTGGATTTTTCAAACCCTGCAATTTTTGGGCCAACAAAAAAGCGAGTTTCATTGCATGTAGAACGAAGGGTGAATGTTTTGAATAATATTTTTATGCAACATATTACGGATTTGTTATCAACAGGAGAAATTGAACCTGAAATTTTGAAGAGAAATATAGAAATTTCTCATGTTGAAGTGAGTCGAAATTTTAAATTTCTAAACATATTTTGGTTAGACAATGATGAGGATATAAAACCCGATACACCAGAATTATTAAAAAAATGTTCATATAAGTTAAGACATGAATTATGTCAACTGCATATTATTGGCAAAATACCTGCTGTACACTTTGTAAAATGTAGAGGTATTGGTGAGGTGAAAGAAGTAGAACAGAAATTAAAAACTTTGGACTTCGGCGAAGATTATGTACCCAGTACATATCCATATGCCACAAAACATACTGTTACAGCTAAAACTTTTCCTAATACAGAAGAGAAAGTTAACAAAAATGAGAATTCAGAAGACACAAATGATATCTTCAGTGTAACTTTACCAGAAATGAGACATGATGTATTTAATTTGAATCACCATAAAATTATGTCAAAGGTATGTAATACAATCAATGATAGTATTAAAATCAATATCTATGGTTAACAATTATATTTCCCTTTTTTACAGATTAAAACTGCATTGAATAAGCCACATGTTACTTTGAAGAAACATGTGATAAATACACACCCTTCTTCTCCTCTTTCTAAACTTGATTTACAAGATAAGCCTAACTTTTTAACTTCAGTGGAACAGCAAGAAGAGTTCTCCAAATTCTTAGTAAAAAGGCGAAAAGAACAAAGATATATAAATAAGCAGAAATATTCAAGAAGAAGAAATATCTATGGAGAAGATGAAGAAATAGAAGAAGATTATGATTATGATGATGATGATGATGATGATGATGGTGAATATGATGAATACGAAGAAGAGCCAGATTATCAATACTATGATAAAAATAATACCCGTGATATACATAATATTGACAATGGATATAAAGATTGTGCTCATAGAGACACTGAAAATAAACATTAAGTGATTGATAAGTAGATAGTATATATAAGTAAATCTTAATATAAATGTTTATGTAAGTAGAAAATTGATATGTATGATGTAAACTGTAATGGTGAAACAGATTACAAAATACTGTATCATTCTCATATAAATACAAAAAGACTAATATCAATAACATTTATTTCTACATTCAATTTTGTTTTATATTACAACTGTACATAATGTACAATTCAATTTTTCTTAATTGAATTTTTATGATTTACATGCAACATTAATGTCAATTATTGATCCCATTGGTTCAAGTTTGATTCTATGTTGCTAAAATTTCTTCATAAACGAAATGTTTTATTACAAGTGTTTTCCTTAGAAATGTTTGTATAAATTATTAATTAAATATATGTGTTTTGGCCATCCACCTTCCTACAAATTTATTTTAAAGCATTTATATAATTTTAGAGTAAATCAAAATTTATAAAATTTGCATATTTTAACTAATATTTGAAAAGAAGGCGGAGGATTTAAATAAACTTCAACTAAGAGTTAACTGCCATTGTTTTTGAAACAATTTAAGCAGTTATAAACAACAGAACTAACAAGACATGGTATAAATTAAGAATTAAATTACGATAATCAATATGTAGTTGTTTGGTATCTTGCAGTACATTTACCTAATCTGAATCACATGATTCATACAGTTCATTCAACTGTCAATGTAAATAAAAAAATATATAACATGAAAATATTATATTAAACTTCAACTAGATCGCGTTTGTGATGTATTTAATTCCTGCTCTTGTATGGCTTTTGTACCAACTTCTTCATCATTTGGTAAAATAAGGTCAATTTGTTGTTCATTCGCAATTTTATTGCTTGAACGAACATTTACTGATGTTAAATGGGGCATCGAATCACTTAAATTACATGCTTCCAATACATATTTATTAAAAATTTCACTTTTATCAGCATAAACATGATGACCTGCTCCTGTTATTGCCTGCAAATAAGAAATGTTCATGCTTGCAATGTAATAAACTTTATTATGCCACTTTTTAATTTTTTTATTTTTACGTTTCTCACCTGAACATTGATATAAGATGATGATCTAGCCTGTTTTAATGTTTCCCAAGACGAATTATCAACCCATGATCGACTACCATATAAGAGAGTTATGGGAATTTCTGGACTTAATTTATCTATTCTTCTAACAATAGGATTTTTGGCCCAGCCAAAATGTTGCATCATTGCATGGAATGCACTTTCACCCCTTCTCAGAAAATGTATCATTTAAATGTATTTTCAAACTTTTCATTTAAAAAATTTAAAATACTTACGATGGTGTCTGAGCATTGCACTGATGCAAATACTGTGAAATTATAGGAGTATCATCTTTTAAAATAGGTGTAAATTTCTTTACTATATCAGGTCTCGTTTTTTCTATTAACCACTGTCCTACAGAATATAATATTTTTATTATAGCATGAAAATATTCGTTAAGTAACATAAGAAAATATAGAAAAAAACTAACCAAATGGTCCAGCTACTCTAACTGGCCATAATGGATTTAATGGTTGTACTATATATGCTATAACTTTCACCCACATAGGTACTCTTGCAATTCGTTCAACAGGTCTTTCAGGAAAGCCCCAAGGATCAGCAAGAATAAGATGCTTAATTCTTTCCGGGTGTTGAATAGTGTATGATGCCGCAAGAAAACCACCCATTGAATGACCAAGTAGTACAAATTTTTCTAATTGCATCTCTCTTCTCCATTCTTCAATGGAACGGACTAACTGATTTTCAGCTTCTTGTGCTTCATTGCTAAAAACTGGACGGCTACTTCTACCAAAGCCTGAATAATAAAAAATTAATGATTAATGAAAAAATGTAAAGAATCAGATATTATTTGATATTAACATAAAAAATAATTGATAATGAAGTTAGTATATATATCTTTTTGGAGGTATAAGATATAAATCTTAAATTTATTAAATATATTAATGCATTTAACTAAATTCTATTGGTAATCAAAATGATCAATAACTTGATGATCAAGACATGCAATGTCATAACAAATTATATTTGATTCCGAAGTTCAATCTTACTCACTTATGAGTCATAGATAATTACACTCAAGAACAAAGCATATATCTAAACACAACCTACATCATGTTGCATAAAAATATGTAACTAACAAATATTTTTAAATAGTACTGAAATATTAATAACATATGCAATATTTAACTATTAAATTTAAAAACAAAATTTTATTCATATCATGCTTACCTAATACATCAATAGCATATACTGGTCTTTGAGAAGCTAACGCATCAAGATTCAAACACCAAAGTGCTACACCTGCTCCTAAACCATGTAACAAAACAATCGGTGTCTTTGGTGACTCTTCGTTCAATGAGATTGTCCATATTTTATCAGATGATCCCACAACTGGTCCTATATCTACATACCATCCTCTGTATGCAGTTTTTAAACCTGTTATAAAAATACTCATAATTACACTGTTCTAAACATACTTAAGAGCATATAATATTATCGTTAATTTAAAACTGGCTTAAAAAAATATATCACTTACAGGACAGAATTTTCTTTTCTGCAGCGCGTAACATAGTAGAGGATGAGCCAGACCAGCTAAACCATCCCCAAAACCAACTAGTAAATAAAAATAGTTATTTTTAATGACATTATAAAAACTAATCACCATGTTATTATTTATATAGACAATTAAATTAAATGATCTGTTTAATTTGTTATTAATCTATATACCTTTATATTAACAAAACTTAGTTCAAGAAAATGATAGTGATATGAATTCATTGACACTGAACTTGAAATATTTTCTGCTCACATTATATAATTATTACTATTATGATAAACATGATAAAAGTGAAATATGCGTATAAGTGACGAATTACGGACGTTTTAATGTGCGCATTACGAAAGAAATTACCTATGTGCAAGTGCTCAAAATAAACATCGAATCAAATTGACTAGACATTTCTTTGGTTACAATTCTTCGTGCTAAAATTGTTTATTGTATGACCTTGAAATGCGATCCAACATGACATAGTTAATTCTTTTACTTCCATAATCATTTTCCTGTTATACGAGTTTTCGGATGTTCGAAAACTTTTCTACGTGAATATTATCTGTAATACAAACTTATTATCTGCAACGATTTTCTCTCTCACGAATAGAAATTTTCAATTAAATTTTAATATAAAAAGATTGTAGAACTGACATAATGTGACGCGGAGATAATGATGATAATCTATCGAAATCACATATAAAATTGCATAAAATCAGAGATAAATCAACTAGAGAAATAGAAGTGAAAATAATACGAGTGACAGTTTCTGAATGACTTCAAATTCGTTTTTGCGTGTACCTTTTTGAACTGACAACTTCATGATCTGCCATTAGCTTCCGAGATAATTTAGCTGTTCGTTTACGATGATTTCTTTGTTGACAATGTGGAAAAACAGTACTTCGACGTAGTCAATTCTATTATCTAGTCAGTGCCGATTCGAGTACACACATACATAGTCACTGATGAAAAATGGAAGGGGGGAGAATCAGCTGATATACATACGTGCTGGAGAATTCCGAGTTCCTTTAACAAAGTAAAAAATCTTTATTATACCACATGTATAGGTTCTCATATTTTGTTAAATATAAAGTACTGGCATCGTGTTCGAATATTATTTCTTTTCAATTACGTTATTTCAATAAACAAAACAGCCTTTGTAAACAATGTGTAATAAAAGGTAACATAACCTCAAACTTGTGCAATAATTCTATACACGTATAATTTACATATGTAAACACCATGGACGCAGCAATACTGGGGTGGAGTAGTTTGATTAGTTATATTTGGAACAATTCCAAATTGAAGATACGAAATTTCAAAATTTAAACATCTTAAAGTTTGTGAATTTGAAGATCTTTAAAATAAAAAATTTGTAATTCTATAAATTTCAGATATCTTACTTTAAACTTTTTAAATATATCCGTAATAAAATGGTTATATATACGATATTAATTTAAAAATCTGTATCAATAAGTGGTTTATAATTCTTCATAATTCGCGGTATAAAGCATGCGCAGAAAAATAAGCATTTAAATTTTGGCATCTGCTATTAGACATCCCTCCCTGCCAAGCTTACACTCTATCCTTATATTCACAGTAAACGCAGATTAGTATTTCTTTTTTAAATGAAAAAGGTGTACACCATTAAAATTTTTAATAAATACCATAATCATAATAATTCTATCCTAAGATAAATCGTTTTGCATTAATGTATATACAATCACGAATGTGGATAAGGTATAATTGAAAAGTTAGATTATTATACTTTTGATTAGATCAAATTATTCACATAATTGATCTTGCCTTTTGTAACGTGCAAAGTGTAGACGTGCTACAATGACAAATGTCAGACAAGACATTTTATAATGATCAAAGAGTCTCTGTATACAAGCACTGGGTGCTTTTGGCTCACCCGACAATATGAGCTATTCATCCCAATCAGCACATCCTCATTGCACTCGTGCATGATTCTCATTACTCGGTCCAATTGTTTCGGGAATTCAAAGTTATACTATAGTTGATAGATTGTTCCTACATTCTTATATTTTCAGATATAAGATTGCATTTTCTGTTATGAACGAAACACGTAAATTTTAGGTGCTCTAAAACAGTGATGAGCAATTGCGCCCTGAGGGCGCGGTACACGGCGTGTATTCGTGGGCACCCGTTGAGTACAGTAGACTCTCGTTATATTGCCACGGATCGAATTTTAACAGCAAAATGTGATAAATGTGGGGCGGGGCCATTATTTGTGAAGCTGGGGGATGTAGCCAATCCCGTTTAAAAATTATAGGTACGTTAATGAATATACGTAAAAAATAATGGGTAATCTAATTATGCATTTTATCTAAGAAAGATGAAAATATTTTGAGGTCCTTCTATACAATTATGATTTTAAACATGAAAGAAATTTGGTTAAGTATGAAATCATACTTTTAAAAAATTTAATGAAGGAATGAAAAATTTAAATGTAATATATATTTGAAAAAAAAAGGTTATATTATTTTTGTCACGTGAAATGTATTTAACATATACAAAGAAAGTACACAGAGGGTAATAAGAGTTTAATTTCGAAAGGCATGCTCAAGGAAAAGCAGGATGTGATTATGTTTGTGTATGTGTAACGATGTGACACATAGCGTGCGTGGCGTAAGGATACACTTGCAGTTCGGGCGTCGTCTGCTGGCACTACTTTCCTGACTGCCAGTCAGCAAAGAGGATCTTAAATGAAGCGGAGTTTCAGAACTAAAATCGTCTGTTACATTGCATTAATTTTTATTTAATATTTTCCACCAAAATTATTTGTCATTATCAAATGGAAATATTTTATTTGTCAAAACCATCCATCACCATTAATTTCATATTATAATGTTATCATTCGTATTTGCTTGCAAATTCAAGTTAACTTTGCAAGCACTAATTTGAAGAATTATACAATTGTTTTATTAAATAATTTTTTATCGGTGATACCTTCTGTAATAAAATAATACTTTATGTTTAAATCTAATCGATAATTTGTAAATATTATTTGACTTTTTGTTTTTGAATATTGTTAATGTTTATGTCTATATGTGTATCGCTTATTCTCCATTGTTCTTCGACGACGCAATTAGTTATCAAAGCTAAAGAAATCGCTTTTCTTCAACACGTCCACGTTAGTGACTCATGATACAAAGGCGTATCCCTCAGATGTTATGCTCTTCTGTTGCTGTGAATTAATTTCTACGCGCACCTCAATGTTTCAATCATGATTCGCGTTTAATTAAATTCACTAAATGCCAGAATACCCCATTTACATAATTCCTGTTTTATTGACTGATACTAATCGTCTAAGTAACACCTGATTTTATGCAAACATAAAATAGTCGTCTATTATATTTATTCTCGTTTAAACGATTATTGATTTTATTCTGTGCTTTGCAAATATGTAGATGAGGTTAGAAAGTTTCTAGTGTTATTAAAAATGTATAATCATTTATGAATATAATGCTAAATTTATTAATTGTATGATACATGTTCAAAATAATGTCGTATTGTAATTAATAAGAAATAAAAAATTTCTGCAATACTATTTAACGTTATTAAGTCTTTATTCGATGTGATATAATAACGGGTTCATTGAAAATTATTTATTTATAGTCAAATCTACAAAATTTATTTTTACAATATTATCTGATATGTTCATTGTTTAACAATGTTTGACATGATGGATAACTGTTCGCAAGGGTGCATTGTAAGGACATTCAAGAGGCGTGCACTCACAGACATTGTACAGTAGACTTTCGTTATATTGCCACTGAAGGGTTATAGAAGTGGATATTCTTGGAACTGATAATATAAAAAAAAATTCCAGCAGCGCTTTAAAGTTTGCAAATCTGAAAATTTGAACATTTGTAAATTCTCTATCATAATAGTTTAAAATTAGTTTGAAAATAATTTGAAATCTAAATTTGTAAATTTGTAAATTTGAAAATTTGTAACATCCTAAATACGAAATTTTGTAACACTCTAAATTTATAAATTTAAAAAATTTAATGTCATATTTGATTAATTGCTGGGAGTGGGAGGCTGGTTCGGTATCATTCTCTCTCTCGCACCCCTCATCTCTGTACGCTCCATGCACGCCCGTGCCCATGAGATTCTACGTGCACCTTGATCAGTCCATCATTGCTACAATAAAATACACAAGCAAAATGATTAATCGTTGAAAACTGTAATAACCAAATAAGCATTTGTTAATAAAAATTGATACAAAAGGGACTACTTTTCAATCGCGAACACCAATGTTCCATGCCTCGCGACACCTGTCGTACTATACGCGATGTAGTTTAACGTGGTAGCCAATGGTGGGGCGTGAAGCCGTGTTATGATTGGACGAGTGAAAGGGGCGCGCGGTTGCTAAGCAACGGCAACACTGCGCGCGTCACCGGCCGGCATCGCCGGCACCAAGCGTTCTTAGCGCTGTGGCAGAAAATTGCGCAGAACGACGTTGACTCTTGTCGAGTGCGGACGTGCTGAAGTTTAAATACGTGTTAGGGTAGACTTTATAAACCAAATTCCTCTGTCTCGCTTTTATCATTGACTAGAAGAGACACTTCTTTTGAGGCGTTATAACTATCAAGAACAATAAGAGATAATTTAAAAGGGTTTTACTAAGAAAATTAGAAAGAAAAATGGCAGAGGACAAGAACGAAACTAGCCCGAGCGCCGAGGGTGAAAAGCTACCGCAGGAAGCGGCGGCACCATCCAAGCAAGAAAAAGAAGAACCAAAGGAAACTAAAGAAGAGGAGAAGAAAGTCGAGGAGAATGGCGACGGTGATAAACCCAAGGAGAACGGTGAAGAGAAACCCACGCCAGAGCCGAAGGACATGCGGGCTATAGTACTGAACGGTTTTGGCGGATTGAAAAGTGTCAAGGCTCTCAGGAAGCCAGAGCCCACCCTCGCCGAGGGAGAAGTTCTGATTCGAGTCAAAGCATGGTAAGTACCTTTCGCATATACCATCTGTTTTTTTCTCATGTATCGTCCTTTCGAGTCAAATAAACGAATAGGTAACTTTGTAAATCGAAATAATTTTGAAATAACATACAGTTTATTAACCGATTACATTGAAATCGTATCTAATGTACATATGTCGTTAACGTTACTGATTTGTAAATATTGTCGACGAATTCAAACGATAAAAGGAGGTTAAGAGTGACGGTTAATAAAATGAAATGTTTTAAATTTGATCGAAACAAAGTTACGTTCGCAACTGGTTGTTAAATATTTTGTTTTTAATTATTTGTCCGTTTTATTGGTTGTGGTATGAGTTATCGATAATCGATCTACCGTAGATGAACCGTAACTTCCATATTTGAATTTTGAATCGCAGCGTTCGTTTCGATAGAGGTGAATCGCCGAAAGGAAAACAAAATAGAAAATATAACCGGGTTTCAACCGAAACAAGCAGACCGTTACGATACCATTGCATCTTTGAAATTTAAGGCGTGGTATCTGAAACATTCGTAATTAAAGTTTCATTACTACGTTTTGAACGGATGAGTAATTTTATAACGGATATGAAGAAATTTCGATAAAAACATTTAACAACTTTGTGCGCACGCGCGTTTGGTTAGTTTTAAATGGAGTTTTGTAATAAACATATTCGATACGATACGGCGACTCGAATCGATACTATCGTTGAAAAATATCGCCTCGAGTAGCGTAAACAAATAAATATTAAAAATATTGGCATATGTTATTGCCAACACAAATTAGATATCAAATTCTTTGATATATTATACTCCACTGATAGTTCTTAGAAAATTTACTATTATTTTATAGATGTACCTTTAAGATAAAAACTATTAGTACATTTCGGATCGATGCACGTTTCGAATAGTATAAATGAAACAGAGCAGCTGCTGTTTCCAGTAGGAAAAAGTATTATCCGGCATTTATCAGGATGCAACACGGTCTGTGCGCTAAATAGGCAGCTACGCTTATAGAATACTTATTTGTGTGTTTAGCATCCGTGCATGCATTCGCAGATACGCAAAATGAAGTTTGATAAGCCGGTTCAACTGCGTCCACCGCATTATGCTTATATCGTATACTATTGTCTCCGCCATGATACAGCAACGTCGTAAAACTCTTTCAGAGTGAAAGTGCATGTATGAAACCTGCTTATTAGGCCCTTAAGAGATCATATAAACGAAGTATTCATTTTTTATATCGTTTAAAAAGTGGGTATGAATTGGTGGGTTTTAATTTACGTTCCAGCTATATCCTAGCGTAATCCATAATAATTTACACGGTTTACTATAGTTCGAGCATTTCAAATCAGCGACGTTCGATTATCGCATCGCTCGCGTGTCGTTTCTACGTACATACGTATATGTACACGTGAAAGTTAATTGAATGAAATTAAAACGTTGTTACGATTACGCGTATATGTTACATCGGAAGTTGCTCGGCTTTGGCAGACCACATCAGATAGCTCTACTATCCATTAATTCAAACGTGGGAAAAAAGATTATTAGGTAGACACGCTGCCGTTAATGCATGTACCTGCTATCATATTAGCGAACGCTCTACTTTATGAATTACGGTTGCAAGCTATAGTGTGAATATATTTCACGTTGGAGAAACGTGTAGCACTAAAATCAAAATTGTTATTTTAATCTTTCTTTTCTGGTAATTAGAGTCAAAGAATTCATTAAATATTCTCTCTTTTTTTTAATTAAGGGTGCAGATCATTCTTGCTTCTGTTCTCGAATTTCAGCGAAAATTTGCAAAGCGATAAACTTCAGCTATCTTTTACGTACAATTTGCAGGAAATTTCACGTTCCATTCTTGCAATTATAAGGGAAAGAAAATCAAAAGGTCGGAAGCTTGTTATTTTTTTTCTTCTTTCGTACGAAGCATCGTCGAACTTTTAAGCGTTAAAACCTGCTTTTAGAAAGCAATCATGCAGCCCGTATAATTCAGCGTTCGTGCAGTACTCTCACCTATAAACGCAAAAAAGTTCGTTCAACGCATGTCCCACAAATTAATATTTTTATGAATATTCAGCATTGTTCGTGACTATTCTTTCCTTTTTCTAATTAAAATAATATGATCGTTAACGACCCGTTTATAATTCACTCAATCATCTGTAAAGCTTCATAATATATATAGCTAGTATATTTAAGAATATAGGGATGTAGGAACATATGAATACCGAGATCTAGGAATATCTAGGGTTATTTAGTTATTTACAAGTATTTACGTATCTGGGGAGATTTATAGAACTATTTGGTATTCTAGTACACCACTATTGATGGATTTAGGGATATTTGTAGGTCTAGTGATATTTTTCAATTTTAGGGATGTTTATGGATTTGGTAATATTTAGGGGGTTATGGATATTTAATGACCAGGCAATGTTTAGGAATATTTTGCGATCTAGGGATATTGCGCCGTCTAGGGATATTTCGTCATCTAGATATATTTTTCATCTAGGGATATTTCGTCATCCGTGGATGCTTCGTCATCTAGGGATATTTTGACATCTACAGATATTTTGTCATCTGGGGATATTTTGACATCTACAGATATTTTGTCATCTGGGGATATTTTGACATCTACAGATATTTTGTCATCTGGGGATATTTTGACATCTACAGATATTTTGTCATCTGGGGATATTTTGACATCTACAGATATTTTGTCATCTGGGGATATTTTGACATCTACAGATATTTTGTCATCTGGGGATATTTTGACATCTACAGATATTTTGTCATCTGGGGATATTTTGACATCTACAGATATTTTGTCATCTGGGGATATTTTGACATCTACAGATATTTTGTCATCTGGGGATATTTTGACATCTACAGATATTTTGTCATCTGGGGATATTTTGACATCTACAGATATTTTGTCATCTGGGGATATTTTGACATCTACAGATATTTTGTCATCTGGGGATATTTTGACATCTACAGATATTTTGTCATCTGGGGATATTTTGACATCTACAGATATTTTGTCATCTGGGGATATTTTGACATCTACAGATATTTTGTCATCTGGGGATATTTTGACATCTACAGATATTTTGTCATCTGGGGATATTTTGACATCTACAGATATTTTGTCATCTGGGGATATTTTGACATCTACAGATATTTTGTCATCTGGGGATATTTTGACATCTAGCTATATTTCGCCATCTAGGGACATTGCGACATCTAGGGACATTGCGTCGTCTAGGTACATTGCGACATCTAGGGACATTGCGTCATCTAGGGATATTTGACGGTCTAGGGACATTGACTGATCTAGGAATACTGAAAGGTCTAGGGATATTTGCACATCTATTGCTGTGTAAATGTAAATACATGTATAGGAGTATAGGGTTTTTTGAACATGCAGATTTATTAATATATGACACACAATAATATATATGTAAATATAAAATATATGAATATTATAGTATACCCTGATTTGAACATTAAAAAAACATTTTTCATTTTGCTTAAATAAAACGTTTCGTATTGGCGTAGAGGGTTACACGATTTCAGAGAAATTGCAAGAAATCAGTTGGCGGAATGAGCCAGCACAATTATTAATTTACATTATTCCAGTCTAAGAAAGTAGGTTGATTCGAGCACAGATTTTTACCGTGCGTTTAGTTTCTCGATGTTGTGTATTATTTCTGGCGTAAACACGATTTCCCAGCTGACCGGAGCGAAGGTCCTCGTAAGAACGAGTTCTCTTCTTTTGTTCCTTTGAATCGACGAAGGTTAGCATTTTAGGATCCCGAAATACAAAAAAAAGAGCAAGAATCACACGCTCCTAGGTATACGACAAGTTTCTTCTTTTTTCTCTGTTTACGGTGAGGAGGTTTCGCATTAACCTTCTGTAATCCCCTTCACGTTTTGATACGTGTTCTCGAAAGAAATATTACAAAGAATTTATGGACAAACGCGAAATTCCAAAATTTCAAATGTACATAACGCAAGTTCTTGCCTTTGGAAATAATATTGGTTCTTGTAATGCTCGTTCACGCGATATCGCGTGATGGAACATTCTCGATAATGAACCGGTCCAACACCGGGTAAATCGGTAGTTATAGAAAAACGCGGGTAGAAAGCGAATTTTCGTTCGTGGTTCGAGCACGTTATGAACGCACCTAGCGCAACGGAGAAAGAGGGAGTAGGAAACGACAGAGGGAGGAGATATTCGCCAAAGGCGTGCGGACCTTTTCACGCGTGAGTCACGTTTCATAAAAGCGATTGGGATTGATGAGAAAATAGCCCCCATAGAAAGATATCACGCTACTACCGATGCTGGTTCGAATGAATTTGTCTGGCTGCGTCGCGTCGGCTACACAGACGTTCAGTTACGCCTGTGGCACCCCTGCTTGCTTGCCTTACAATCTATGTTCCAACAGCGAGAAACGTTTCTAGTCGTTGAGTCATAGGAGACGCAAGTTTGTGCATCGAGGGGTATCTGCTTAATACGATCGTAAAAAGGGGACATTTTCATACCGCGTTGTCGTCCAACGATGCGGTTAGGGACAAAAATTCGTGTAATCCTTCGCGAGCCATTTATTCCCTCGCGATAGATACTGTTTATTGACCGTGCCTTGTAACGAGCGACATGGTGCGAAGCGATCAGATTTCTTCCGTAATTTATTCGAAAAGGAGCTTATTGAAATTTACTGAAGATCGAAATCTAGAATGTTCTGAAATTGTTTCTATAGGAATACATTATGGTATGGGGATATAATGTATGCAACGGTATGGGGACATTTAGGGGCTCTGAGGATATAGAGAGCTAAAGACGTGTAGGAACACATAGAGAGTTAAGAATATTCAAGTTTATTTAGAGGTGTTGTCGGTATCTAGGGATAATTATGCAAGATGTAGAAATATCTAGTGACATTTAGAGATACACTGATCTAGGGTCTAGATAGATTTAGAGACATTTATAGGTCTATGTAAGGA